TATATACAAGGGATGTAACTTTATTGTTCCCATGAAACTGAGCTGTTCACCTTATATAAAACAAGGGGCAGCAGAGCGAGGGGGATGTAACTTCAATGTCAGGGTTTTATCCGAGCGTGGTACAATGGATGAAATCTCTTTGTACCCATGGAGCCCAGAACTCTAAAATAAAAGAAAGGACGTTATAAAGTATGTGGCAGGGGTAATATATGGTATAATTACAACTGTATTATACCGAAGGCCTTATTATGTAAATATCATAACTGATTCAAGGGATATGCCACGTTGACAATATGTTTTTAGGAATGTGAATTATCAACATCGTTTATGTCCTAATGTAAAAATTATAACTTATTTACACAAAACATTTTCGATGAGAAATCATCATAATAGGAGAGTCAAAGGTGGCATCTATTATCTATCTCATTGAATATAAAATATTTTCATTACTTTTCACTGCTGTCATACGGTACATTGATGACATCTATCATTCAATATTCAACAATTTCATTTTCACTGCTGCCATCCGATACATTGATGACATCTTTCATTCAATATTCAACCATTTCATTTTCACTGCTGCCATACGGTACATTGATGACATCTATCATTCAATATCCAACGATTTCATTTTCACTGCTGTCATACGGTACATTTATAACAAAGGTAGTGCGAAATGGCCTTTTTGATGACATTTAAAGATATAGTTCCTCTTTTCTTTCACGTGTATTATCTCGTGGAAATGGGCATACCAGTGCAAAGGTATTTGTTCCGTGGTAAATAAAACCTAGCCAGCAGTTGGGTCAAAACTATCCTACCCTTTGCATTCGTTTGACTTTACTTCTTAAAAGAGAGCTTCGTCTTGTAGTTTAACTAGACTCTGCACGCAGGGTAAAACTATCCATAACTCAAAATAAAAAATAAGACGTTTGCCATTTTGCCCATTGACTTGCATGGAGACGTGAATTAGGGATGTTTTGCCAATGCTACCCTTGCTGCAGAAGACTTCTTTGAAGAAGCTAAGTGTAACGAATGCGAAGTGTAGTGCATTGATAATCCACATTAGGCTACAAGTGAAGAGTGTCCGTCTCTCCGTCTGTCAAGGTCAATGTCTATTGGTCAAGGTCATCTCAATGTCAGATTTGACGTTTTAAGGCACTTGAAGAATAATTAGGTGACCTGTGGTCAAAGTCAATGTTTATGAGCCAATGTATAGCAAGGTCGTATCTAGGTATTTGGCATTTTGAGGCCATTGGACATGTTCACCTCAATTCAAGAATTAGTCAAGGTCAAAGGATCAATATACAGGTATTTAGCATTTTATTGGGCCTCCTGCCACGTTGGGGCTGTTGTGACCCTTGGTGGCCAACTCGAACTGGTAGATTGCTAGTGCATATAAAATCGAAGCGGAAACCTGTACATATAAATCGCCCTATACAAGTGCATGTAGTTTTTTCACATAAACAATCGTTTGATTACATTATTTATTGAGTCCGTTACTTAGACTGCACATCATTGTGTAATATGCCATTGATAGTTATTAGCCGGTTTTCAGTGATACATATACTCCTCAAAAAATCTTAAGGACCAATCATTTTCCTCAAAGGTTTACATGTTAAACCCCATGTCTGTTTGAACTCTTATTTTCAAAGCCTGGAACGAAAGAAAAACTGATAATGTAAATGGATATGCACGTTGACTCTTATTTCTATATTTCAGAAAATTTTAATTTCAATATTTCCGTTACAATGTGTCAAAAATTGATGTCATTTGACGAAAATTAAAAAATGACAGAACCCATGTAATCCAATGGAAAATGGTTAAAAGTCATATTAGAAAGTATCCATCAATTCAATTGCTCTCAAATATGGACTGTAAATAGACACATGAATTTGCTAACTTGTCTACAACAAAAAATTGATTTGTTTCTCCAGGTTTTACAAAGTTATGAGTCTCGAAAGTCAAAATCATTTCAATGTTTGACCTATTGTAATAGAAAGATTTAATTGAAAATTTCCTGAAATATAGAGAATAGAGTTAAGGTACATATCCATTTACATTATCAGTTTTTCTTTCGTTTCGGGCTTCCATTCCATTCAAGGAGGGGTTTCTGGGTCTATCCTCCAGGTTGATTACGTAAATTACGACCGTATATATACGGGATACACTCAAGAGGTATTGCTCACCTTCATTGGTGGTAAACAAAATACAATACAATACAATAAGGTTTTTTACAAAAAATGGCAGACATTTTGAAATTCAGCTGCCATCTTGAAAACACTTTCTCGAACAGGGCTACTATGTCCCTAGGCATCAGGATATAAATTTTGAACAAAATCCGTTTACTGGAACTTGAGTAATGAAAGATTAGCTTTCTGGGGGAAAAGTGGCGGCCAATTTGAAATTCAAATGCCATTATGAAAATTGATTCTCGAACAGAGCATCAGTGTCCCTTGGCTTCAGCATATAAAATTTGAACTAAATCCATTCACTGGTTTTTTGGTTATAAATTATTTCGTTTTTAACGATAAAATGGCAGCCATTTTGAAATTCATCCGCCATCTTGAAAAAGTGTTCTCGAACAGAGCAACTGTGTCCCTAGGCGTCAGCCTTGAAAGAAAGCATCAGCATATAAAATTGGAACCAAATCCGTCCACTAGATATTAAGTTATAATAGATTACATTTTTTACGAAAATGGCGGCTATTTTGAATCGAGCGTCCATATTGAAAATTCCACCTCGAGCAGAGGTCCTACACCCATAAGGCAATAGCCCATACAATTTGAATCAAATCCGTCCATCGGTATTTGAGTTATTGCCTGGGTAGACGGACGGACCGACGGACGGCTTTCCTATATCCCCCTCGAACTCCAATCAGTGGGGTAAAAATGGCGGATTCAACATTTTCTGATAACGCTTCGAATAATATTATGTTTATTTCAGGTTTGTTAACCAATATCATAGCCTGTTACATGTATTTCACATCAAGATAAAGAAATATGTAAGGACTGTGCTTACATCGATTGAAACATCACAACGACGTCTTATATTCAAAACACTAACTGGTTAGAATTTGTGCAAACGAAGGTGGTACGCAAGAGACGTAATATGTCTGTCATCGCTAAAGCTCTGGGGTTCCCTTCATCTTGGTGTATTGGAACCTAGGACGAAGTTTGCCACATTTTCGTAACTGAACATGTTCAGGTCCATAAAATACTTGGTGGATGTGAATAAGGGTGGCAATATATACCAGTTCGTCAAACCTTGGGAGGCCAAAGAATACATTGGTTAAACAAGAGTAAGACTACACAGAAATATGAGATGTTCATGCATGCTAGTGTATCTTTTTTTTATATGTGATTTATTTCATAGTAAAATAGAATTATTACATACACATGTTGCGGCTTTGCAATGGAGCATTATAAGCCACAATTGAATAATAACAAGATTTAAAAAAGAAAGTATGACAATGGATTTGTAATAAACAAAAGAATTATTGTGTACAAAATGATACAGTTGGTGGTGGAAGAAATACTTACACGCTTGCACACCTTTGAATAAAAGCTGAGATGAGCCTTAAAAGTTCAATATTAACTTCTTTTGGCAGACTTCTGTCTCCATACAAAAACAATGATAATTTGTCTTGCTGGTTTTTAAATGCTGGGTAATTAAAATTTAGAAGAGTAAGTGCATCCTCTAAATCTTTAAGATATTGTGATCTAAGGTTACAAGAGAACATGACATGAATGGATGTTTCATTGCTATACCCAAATTTGCATGTAGGGGATGGTACATTTAAGTAAAATTGTGGGCGTAAAAATGGGACTGGAAGATCAGATCACAGCGCACCTTGTTCAGAGAAATTTCTTGGCTCCTTGTCAAGGAGATCTCAGAGGAATTAATGATATAAGTAGTCATTAATTTTTTCTTTACATTCGATTTAAAAATATTTAGATTTGGTGATTCTTTAATTTCGGGTGGGAGAGACTCCCAGTCAATGATGGATTTAAATACGCATGATCTATTTGAAAATGTTGAGGTTTTGATTGGAATTTGGTAGTCACGACTTCTTCGAGTTATTGATGGAAGATTTCTACGATATTGATTAAAAATGCTCAAAACGTAGGATGGAAGTTTATTGTTATAAGCTCGGTACATTAATTTAGGAAAAGTCTATGCATTTGTCTTCTATCAGATAGCTTTGGCCAATTTAAGCAGTTAAGGACTTTTGTTGAAGATGTTCCATGTAGTACACCTGAGCAAATGCAGGCTGCTTTGTAGTATAATTGATCAATGGATTTTGATTTACTTATATTTGCACAACCATAAAGAATATCGCAATAGTCGAAAATTGGAAGTATGTAAGATTTGAAGATTAATTCCAGGTGTTTTCCATTTAATTTGTTGCTTAGAGATTTAAGTGGGTTTTATAGTTTATCGATCCTTTTGGTGAGGTCTGTGATGTGTTGGTCAAACGTTAGGTGTTTGTCTAGTATGAGGCCTAAATGTTTATGATGATCAACTCGAGGTAGAACATCATTACCAATTTTGAGGTCAGGAACGTTATATTCACATTTCCTTGGATTTGAGAAAATTATGTCTTTGCTTTTAGAGGCCTTGAAGTTCATTTTCCATGTCTGGGACCATTGGAAAATTGAATTAAGATCAGATTGTAAAATTGTGTTACTTTCAATGAGATTTGATTTGGAATATGGTTGGTATAGAGATGTGTCATCTGCATAAATATAGCATTTGCTGGATAAGGTTTCAGGGAGATCATTTATATATATCAGGAAGAGTAGTGGTCCAAGAATAGAGCCTTGTGGAACACCAGCATTTATATAATCCTTATCGCTCAAAACAGACTCTTGACCATCAAGGATAACTTTTGCTTGTCTTTTAAAGAGATATGATGCTAAACGTGATAGAATACTTGGGCCAATTCCATAAGATTCAAGTTTTTTTAGTAGCAAAGAATGAGTGTATCTTATATGATGAAATTAACAGACGCTACTGTTAGACTGATATCTAACACCTCTTTCGCGTAGAGCACTTGTGGATCCTTGCCGCTTAAGCAACTTCTCAATCTCCCTCATTCTTTCATTCATACTTTCTAGTTGAGCATTAAGGTTTCGAATGCTGCAATCGGCTTTTGAATGGTGCATACAATCACGAATTTCATTGACCGTATCTCTAACCTCCTGCACATTTCGTTCATTAGAGTCCAGCGGGGGATCTTCCCACTTCAACAATTCTTTTTTGTAGTTATTATTCTTAACAGTTTTCTTGTAGCACCACGATCTGTAGTAGCATGAAAAAGTCGCGTTTTGCTCAATCCGTGATATAATCTTTGCTCGACTAAGCTCCAAATCTCGCTGGCATTGATACTGAATGCAATTGAAGCGATTGTTCATCTGTGCTATAAGCAGATTGAGAAGAACAATGACACAGGCACTAAGGTAGAGAACCATAATAAGAATTGAGAGGACGTTATTTGAGTTATTAGTCTCATGTGTGTAGTCAATGACTGGTTGTTGTTCGACCAGTGTACGTATCCCTATGAACATATATCCGAACACTGACATCGTGTAGTTAAGTTTTGCCAATTTTCCTTCGCCACGAAGAGACAACTGAAAACTGCCACTGAATGCAAGTAAGATGATGGTAAACAGTATGATGAATCGAACAATATCTCGTGTGATAATCACCCAAAGAGTGTGAACATACACGCCAGCTCGCCTTGACAAAGGTGCATATTTGAGAATTCGCATTATCCAACAGATGTATCCAAGAGCATAGGAATACCACTGTGCATTGACGGCTGACAGTCTGAGCGGAATGACAATCAGAAGAAGACAAATACTCAGCAAATCAAAAAAATTCTCAAAACTTTTCCAGTAGCCCAATTTGTTTCTCGTCATCTCTTTGATTTCAGACAAAAGGTGGTACAGTACAAAAATAATCGTACAAACCTCAAAAACAGCCCGGGTAACTTGTAAAGGAGTGTCATAGACCAGTGGATCAGGGGCTTGACATGCAACTCCAACAGAGAAAGTCAGAAAAAATATGGATATGATATATACTACCGCTTCCCGAATAATCCTACTTCTCCCAAATGCTTTCCATTTGTAGTCTATGAATAGCCTGACAGCGTCATGATATAGTAAGTCCATATCTCCATAATATGTCAGTTCATGTAGTCCTGATTTTGCCTTGTAGTCAAAGTCGTCTTCCTCATCGGGAGTATAGCCATTAGAGTCGGCATCAAGTAGGTCAAAATGTATTAATGCATCTTCTTCACCAGGTTGTTTATCAATGAGACAGTCGAGAAGAGCTCTTACAGTTTTTACCATGTCTGCTTCAAGCAGCTTCTCGATTGTTATCTCGGCTTCCTGTATATTTCCACCTTTGTCCCTATGTCTCATATGAATCTTTCTAGCTTCATCGTTTGGCATATGTGTGAGTAAAAGAGCACCCAGTTCATCAAATTCCTCATTTTTCTCATCTACGACATCTTTATATGGTGTTACACCATCAGAATTCTCTTTGTGAGGTAAGGCACCATATTCTAACAGTTTCTTGCACACACCTGTACATGTGATAAGATACATATTTACAAAGGATCTTAAGAAGGATGTTGACCAAATTGGAAAGAAGAGAACCTCGATTTTCCCAATTTTTATAGGGGAGAATGATTATAAAATGATATGTTTTTCACTTGAGTTAGAAGATCATTATACAAAATTTGCTTGTTTCGATATATCGCTTAAATCCAACAATCATGCAATTGAAAATTAATAAACTAAGTTAATAAACTTCAGATTTGTGATGTATGCAATTCTGAGGGCGTGATAAGTCAAATGAAAGGACTAGGTTACCGTCATATGACGTCATATGATTTACTTACCAAGCCATACTTTTTTGCCTCCCTGGTCAAACTCTGTGGCTTCTTTTTTCGGCTAAAAAAGCAGTATAAGATCATAATTTCGATACAAAATAAAACAAAAATTGATTGGTAAAACGTTGTTTCTAAACGTTTTTATTTAACTTTTAAAAGGGGCTGGGCGTAGTTTGTTGAATTTATTATATACCGTTCAACTAACATTAATTGTCACAATCTCGCTAACCAGTTTCAAACCTTGGTAATCCAAGATTAATTGTCACAGCGAGATTTACAATCCTCTTACAATCATACTACGTACCTTCATTATATCATGGAGAAATCTTTCATGAAGTCCTCTTTCTTTTTTGTGCACTTTCATCTGACTTGAATTCTCAATTGGCGGTTCAGGTGTCTTATTCTTTGGCGACGTAGGTACCTCATATATTTCGTCTTGTATACTATCATGTTGCACCATTTCTTCTTGAGTATCAATTTTGATTTCTGTTTGTTCTACTGTGCCCATATCTACCTCTGATGTATCGACCGTGCTTTTGGTCGTTTGATCAAGTTCACTTTCAACTTTTAGCACCTCCTCTTTTTGCTGTTTCTCAATTTTAACTTCTTTCGGTTCTACCGCACCCCGTGTTACATCTGAGGTAAAATGCATGCTGTTGTTTTCTTTATCAAATGCACTATCACTTTTTACCACGTCCTTTTCTTGGTGCGTTTTTATTTTGATTCCCGTCGTCTCCATTGCTTTCTCGTTTTCTCCTAGCGCATCATACAAATCATCTTCTTCTTTATCATATGGATTCACAATTGTCATCAGTTGTGACCCTTCGGCCTTGACAGCCACCATCTTTATTGTATCTTTATTCTCATCCACATTTTGAGTAGTTTGAGCGTTAGTATTCTTATCTTGGGGATTTTCAAATTCTCTTTTTTTGTCGACCTCTTCTTTAAATTTACTGATGGCATCAATCAAACCTTTCTGTATTCCGAATGTTATCAACTTTTCACTCTCGACAGCAATCTTCTTTTCCACGGTTTCGTTATATTGTTTTTCTTGTTTCAATGCAATCCCTTCAGTTGTAGAATCTTTCCTTTGGCAAAGAATCGTAAGAGAGCCATGAAGTTTATTGATTGAGTTCAAAAACATGATGTTCCACGATATTTTAAATTGATCTCTTAAGATTTCGTCGCTTAAGATATCAACGTTTCGTCCCTTAAGGACATATAAGATAGAACATGTCTTATCTCAGTTGATATAACAATCCGTTAAGTTGGTGGAGATTTTTAAATATGAATAATAAAAATTCTGTTTATCAAAGCCGAAGGTATCTACCCAAGGGATCACTTCAAAAAAATGAAAGGGGTTTCTTGAAAGGTAACTTTCATTTCATTTGTTCATTTCCTAATTTTCATTGATTTCTAAATTCAGTATGAACATCATAGTACATAACTAGACAGGTCAAACCATGGGCTTACAAGAGAAGGATGGCCAAACTGGTGTTCAGTTAGGACATTAGATAACAGACTTGATCTTGCATTTGACTTTGACCCTTAAATGTTTTTTGGGGTCCGTATGAAACCTTAACTTTCTAAGTAAACATTTTACAAGAAAAATGATATAGTTTACTAATTTAAAGGCAATTTTGTTTAGTTTCATCTCGGTAGAGTTTCCACTTCTTCAGTAGTATGTCTAAACTCCAGGTTAAGGGTAGATACCTATAGTAACGAACAGAAGAATTAAAAATAATATAGCTTAATGTCAAAATAAATATCATGACAAATGAAACTCGATAGTATTTGTATGCGTGATATTCTTATATCATCCCTTCGATGTGCACCATCGCTACAAAAGTGAATATCAATAATAAGAAATAAAGGTAATGATTAATCATCTACCAACTGTCAATATAAGTGTGGTGTCATAAAACATAAGTGTCATTAGGAGTTGTCAGACGTGATCAGCATAAAGTTGGCCTATCATTCCCGTCGGATTTAAGGAATTGCCAAAACAAAACGAAAATAAGCACTTGATTTCAAAGGGCATATAAGATGTTCAAAACAATGCTGTAAAGAATTCATTTGAATTGTATATCAAACACTTGTGAGTGCTTGGAAACTGTTTTATTGATATGATTACTGATAGTGAACTTGTTCGTTGAATTATAAAGTTATTTCATTACTTATCAATTCTGTCAATAACAGTCTGGGTCTCACACCACTTAAAGCATCTTACTCCAAAAACTTTGACATTGGTTATACAAAGGACAAAAAAACATGTATTTGTTTTGGTTGAGGATTATCTTATCAATTATCAATGGCTACACTGAAAATCACATAAATGTGTACCTTAAATGTACATGTACATGTCATTGTGTTTTGAGAACCATCTTACCCCTACACGTCTATCTAAATATATGGGAATACATAGAAAGTCCATTTCAAAATTATATAAACTATCTATAGTGCATCTGCATGTACAGTATCTGCGGCTTTGTTGGATAACAAGGCACAGGGTGAACATTATCGTACCTAAAACTAGCAATGTGGGCTTGATGACCAAAAAAGCAAGATGGCCACCAAAAAGTTAATCAGTTCTTGAACTTCTTACCATGTAACTTTTGTAAAAATTTGGAGTAAATCCGTTCAGTGGTTTTCCTGGAATCGCGATGACAAGATTTATCTAAAAACTTCCAAGATGGCCGCCAGAATGCAAGATGACTGTCGAAAATTTAATCAGCTCTAGAACTTTGTGGAATCATGATGACAAGAAAGTGAGACGACGCCCCCCGCTCGCCGCCCGTCAAGCTGACGACAATATCGTACTTTTTTTAGGTACGATAAAAAACCTCATACCTGTAAGAGGGTGAACAGGGGAATAATCACAGAATTCAAAGAAGACATACGCTTATAATGTAAACATGTAAGAATACATACATCTCTGATTGATCAAAATCCACCAAACAAATGACTTAATCATTGGCGGCTTCAAAATTTTCAAAGATAAAAAAGGTGTACAGAATATTATGCCTAGTACATCGATTTAAACATCACATGAAAGTGTAGTATTTGGAAACTAACCGTGTTCGAACAAACGAACATGGTACATTTTACATGTAAGCAAGAGAAGTAATTATGTCATCTCTCTTTTCCCCCTCTTAACTCGTTTAATCGTATTCGTACTTCATCAACACAGTCTCTACAGAGTTACTACTTTTGAGAATTATTAACAATTAGATAAATATCTTATATCTTATTGTGTTCATGTAAATTCGCATTACATACAGACAGTGTATCATGTATTGGTATTCTTTGATTGATATTTCAAGAATGAATATTTGACGCAGATTGGGATGAAATTCATGGCATTATGACTGGTCAATTTCAAAAGAAGTGTTGTTATGTGTTATCTTAGTCAATATATGGTCACCATACCAAGAGTGTGAGCGATGGGGGTATATTGAAATATGTCTTATTAAAATAATTAGAATGTGTATGGATGAATGACATTAGTAAACGATAGGTATCAATATGGTGAACTGAATTCAACAATGTTTTTCTCTTAAACCAAAAAACATTCTGTAAAAAAACACGGTCCTTTATGTAATGTTGACTGATTGGCGACAATTTAATGCAAAAAATATTTATATATATTTTATATAACTGTTTTTGTTAACATTTTTTGTTTTTTAGTGCAATTGTTTTTTGTTCCTTTCTACCAATTCTTGAGATTGACATAAAATGTCTTTCCAAACCTTGTTGGAACATAGTAGCATATACAACATTTTCTTAGACCTCTAAAGATTATAGTTGTACAAAGGAAATTTTGGTTGATAGAACAAAAAGTATGCAAAAAACTTAAAATAAAACCCCCTAAAATAGATAACAATTAAGATAAATCATTATTTCATTAACAAGATACTTTTTTAAAATCAACCAAACTTTCCTTTGTACAATTACAATATTGAGAGACCTAAACACGTTGTGTTTATGTTGTTTTGTTCCAATGAGGCTCGGATAGATGTTTCATTTCATTCCGAACATATGATACCAAGAACAAAATAAAACAATATAGAGAAAAGTATTTATATATTTCAAATTATAATGTTGCCATTCAAAAGATGACCATTTAAGTGACGATGTGTAACATTTTCAGAATGTTTTGATGACTGATTTAAGAGAAACGCGTGTTCAAAATGTTCACCATATTGATACCACTCCTTTGCTGAATATGAAATCTTTTAGATTAATCCTCATCAGTGAGTACTTTAATGATGTACATCTTTGATTTTGTGCAGACAAACAGACGATTGTTGGTTGCCTGGAGACCAAGTATATTCTCTGTTGACGCTATGCTGACCATTTGTTGCTTGGAAACAGTTGAAACTTCCTGTCCCGTTTTACGGTTCCTCAATGGGGAAAGGGTAGAAGTAGGTTGACGGTAGATGTAAATATGACGCACACAATCCGATATTACAGCGTATGACATATTCGGGGAGCAAACTACATATTTCTTGTCTCTCTTTGATGCCTGGACATAACCCAGTGCATTAAATGTACCAGTGTGTTTCCATGGAGATTCACCAGTCTCAACTTTGTCCTTGGGTTGCCATAGTAACCCATCTACATCATGTCTGAGACACAGAGATGGAAGGCGAAGGGGGTGTGTCCAGGCCTGGAAGAGCCATTGGTGTGTTCCCAAATTAGCCTGCAAAAACATTGGATATAAAACATAAATAATATTAAATTGATCATGAAAAAATGTAAATACAAATCAATTATTCATAAACAGTTTTTGTTTGTTGATGGAACAAGATATAAGATCTGTATAGCATTTTAATGGAGGCTCAATTAAGTGATATAAGCAGTAACTACAGGTAAATATTTTTACCATAGATATCATGAACGAATTGAACAAGGTAATAACATGCAAAATGTCCCACCTGCTATTTGTTACAGACACCCAACACCGTCCATAAAAAGGTTGGAGACTATAACAATATGTCACTACTTCTGGTTGTGCCATTAAGACCATATTTGGGAAAAAATGATTGAGTTGTGTAATATCTATTCAAAGACAAACTGTTGAACACTTGATAATTTTTCTTTGATAAATGATCATCATTTTTTGATGATGTAAATCCATCCACTTTTTGTCAATACTGGCAATTTGGTGAAAGTTTTCAAAACGGTTTGCAATACTGCAAATCTTAGTTGATCAGTTTTTAACTATCATACCAAGAAACATCCATGTAATTAATATACAATACCTGATGAGATACTTCATGGCTCTCTCCATCTATCCTTTGGAGACATGCACTATCCTCTGGGAATGAATCGCAATCCTCTAGCTGTTCTGAGTTGTATGCTTTTTCTTTCCCTGGCTGAGGGTCTGGGTTCTAGGAATAAATAATATACTATCATGTTAATCTACGATATAGACCATCTGTATTTAATCAACACACTCATGTGTTGTTCAATAGGAATTTTTCTAGAAAATGGCCCTTAAATGTTGCCCAAATAATCTTCGGCTTGAGAGAGTAGAATTAGAAGACAATGAAAGTGTAACATGTTGCAAGCGGTCTTTTCAAAGTGCATGCCAATGTTTTCCTTACAATCCTTTTCTGATATTTCAGATCAAATATTCAAATTATATACTATTACTATTGAAGATGGAGTGAAATTATAAAATCTGTTTCAATTAAAGAGGGGCATCTCCTTTTTAATTTTTTGCCAGATAACCTTATCACTCGATGGATCATGACCTTTTAGAAAATAGGCATGAAATAGAATGAAGAGAGCATAAAATATTTTAAACAAGGCATTAACATGCAAAATGTCACCACCTGCCATTTGCTACAGACGCTGAAAAACCAACCGCCAATCGCAAGTGTCCAAAAAAAAGTTGAGACTATAACTATATGGCACCACTTGTATTGGTGACATAAAAAGCATAAAAAATTTCGCAACTCTCAAATTGCCTCTACAAGAACAACAATAAGTCTGGCAAACAGTGTGCAAAGTTTACATAAATAATGTACATACCCATTGGTCGGAAGTGAGATGTGCTAGACGTTCATGTATCTCTGCCACTTGAGCTGGGTCGAATACCATCTCACCACGCTTATCTGTTGGTACAACCCCTGGCCATTGTACACCTTCTGACTTAGCTAGGGTCACCTCCAATCTATGATTAATTTCAAAAACGTATATTATTACAGTAAAACATGTGTAAATGAAACACATTTGGAACCTCTGAAAAGTGTTCCAGTTGGGAAGTGTTTCACTTATACAGGTTTATATAAAAGTAAGTCAGTTAGTCCTGGAACTGTGAACAGTGTTCCACTCACAGGGGTGTTCCACTTTTCAGGTTTTACTGAATTTATTTTTAATTAGCTGGTATTACATCATCTATTATTATCCTTTTTAATTAATGACTAACTTCAAGCTAAAAAGGAGTAGTTAAACTAAAATCAATAACAGTACAAGAAAATTATGACATAAATGAAATGGAAGTAAATCCAGTGAATATTTTTACTGTAAAGATGTTCTTCACATGTATATACCTGACTGTCAGACATAATAATGCTATTCCATTATTAACAAAGAAGATACCATTTACCTCTGTCCTTCAAGAGTCCATGTGCTGCCATCTATATCAACAGCGTCATGTAGATCTCCAACAAGTAACTCTTCCCCATTTTTAATTCCAAGCTCTATACGTCCCCGTGACAGCTTATAATATACATCAGGTTTGTTTGTTCCTGGGGGTAAGGTAAATGTGAGGGTCACATCCTCCTCTGTCTGGCTCCAGGTGTATGCTGGGGGTGGGGCTATAAATAGATATAAAATATCTGAAATATTTGAATTATTCAAAGCACTTTGCCATTATACAGGTACATGTATATTTAACGATTTTTTTAAGATTGTAAAAGATAGCTGAAAATCACATTAGAGTTGTGATTCATGTCACAACAAGGCATTGACATGACAATATGTCACCATCTAGTTGCTCACAATATTATGAGTTCAATCCTAAGTCAGATTTGAATTTCTGAGAACTTGTAGATGATTTTGAAAAAAAATTGGTCAATTTGAACCAAGTTGAAAAAAGACCTTTTCTGACCCTGAGAAGGTCATTGAAGATGAAATCTCAAATCTAAAGTCAGATTTGAACTTCTGATAACTTGTAGATGATTTTGAAAAGACATTTGGTCAATTTGAAGCAAGTTGAAAAAAGACCTTTTTGACATTTTTAACCTATTTGGACCTTGAAAAGGTTATTGAAGGTCAAATCTTAAATATAAAGTAAGATTTGAACTTCTCAAAACTTGTAAAGATTTTGAAAAATATTGAAGTAAGTCTTAACAGTATTTGTTAAGTTATTGGAAGTTGTAAGAATTTGTTACAGACGCCAACCGCCATCACAAAAAGGAGACCATAACAATACATGTATGTCACCACTTTTTGGTGACGACATAATTATATAAAGCTTTGAAACGCATGTAACAATTAGATTTTTGCGATACATGTCAGTGAAAGATTGGTAAATTGTTTAATGACATAGCACCTGTTTGTGTATTGAATATAATGTCAATATATAGGGAGTCATCTGTGAATGATTTGTGAATGTCAGTTTGAAAGCTGCTTGTGCTTGATGTCACTTTGAAAACTGTTGGTGACTGTATCAGTATAAAAGCTATTTATGATGTCATTTTGAAAGTTGTTTCTATGAAAACAGACTGAGCATGCTGTGTAAACATGAGTACTGTAGCTCTGCATCTAATTATCAAAATGTGTTAAACAGCCACTGTTAATTGAACCTGAACTGAACTTATACTAAACTGAGTATACCTGGTATATGTTGCTCTGTGTCAGGCTTCTTCTCTACAATAGGGTGGAGGGAGTCATATGTCATCTTGAAAGGTTTCTCACTACCTACATATACACCTGCCCCATTGTAGTCCACGCAGCTGTAGTCTGCAGCACTGAACCCCTCTATGTATCTGGTTCTCTCTAGCCACCAGTGACCCTGGCCTCCTAGAATAATATATTGAATTATATATTGAATATAACAGTACAGTAAAACCTGATAGTTGGAACACTTCCGTAAGTTGAGCACTTCAATAAGTTGAACACTTCTTAGTCCTGTGTGACAATAAGTTTTGTCTAAAATGAACCTTTATAATAGGTTCTTCTCACAAGATACAAGATACTCATAATGTCAGGATGTCAGGTTTTCTGAGAATGAAGGTGATTAAAATTCAGTTGTAAATCAAAATTATATTATAGGTGTCAGCTTAGCAATATTTTATTTGGATTTACTGATTTAGGGGTGTCAGGTCGGTAAACTTTTATTCGGCAATAACAATTTTAATCCAATTCGGAAAATAAAGCACCCGGATTTAATACATGTTATACAGTAAACACTATTTTGAGTTACCATACATGAATGTGATTTGATAACACAGGTTTTATTGAAATATGATTTTTTAAATATAAAGGCACAAATAGCTAGCCACTGTATGACTGAAAAGACAATTTATTTTGTGAACTTTCCAACTCACATGACATGTCACAACATTTCAGAAAATGTTTGTCTGACACACCATGCCACAAAAGTTATGAATCTTATCCAAATTCACTTGTCTATCCGTATCAGGGTTCTCACTAGGCTTTTAGACTTTAGATTCTCCGGAGTCTAATGTCTTAAAATCCTCTTGCTCCAGAGTCTAATAGCTTTTCCGGAGTCTGAAGTGTTTTTTCCGAACTCTAATTTTACATTTTTGTCACATTATTTGCGGTAAAACTCTTTGAGAAAATACATAAAACTGGGTATAAACAAGGAATAGGGAGTCAGAAACCTTTTAGAAATAAAAATTGGGATAAAAATAGCAAGATAATCTTAAGAAGAAAAAGTAGTCACAATACGGCTAAAAATCCATGGTCTAAAAATTTCCTGGTGAGAACCGTGTGTATATAACATGTACTCCTTCTCACCTGAGGACAGTGTAAGCCACTTGAGAACAGTTACAAATGGCTGCTTTCTATGATCATCTTCAGTAGGGTTTGGTTTCACTTCAACTAACAGCAGTTCCAGTTTCTGTAGGGTGTCCTCCTTATATAACAGGGCATGCTGGAGCACTATAGGTGTCACTGTGTTGGGGGAAGTGATGTCATCATAGTCACAGTCATCATCCGTGTTAATGTTGTGTTTGTGAATTATCTGCACAAAAAAAACTCCTTGTATTTAGTTATGAACAATTAAGTTATTTCCATACAGTAGCTTTTCAACTTACATCTAGCAAATCATGGTGTTATTCAATCATTCACAATTTCATGATATAGTTAGTTACTTGCAGCACAGTGTCCAGGCCCATGACTAGCATTTGCCAAGGGTGGTTCATTGCAATGTGTAATATAACTTTTCTTCACATTAACATTTCAAGCCAGGCACTCTTCTTTGTGAAGGAATCAAGTTGTCCGAAAAATATAGTATAATTTCTTTATATGCTTAGAACCAATCAGATTTCAGTACATGTATCTCGACAAAGTGCATTATCAAAACAATTACCTTCCAGGTTTCAATGGAACTCGCCCTGTCTCCAGTCTCTAAGATGTAAATATTGCCAGCCCCATCAGACAACACTGCTAGTTCGGGAGAGGGCAGATAGATGGAGCAATCACACCTGTCCTCATGCTGTTTAACATCTCTTGCATCTGGGATTTCAAATATCACAGTTGGAGGGTCAAAGCTGCTCTCCTGAAATAGATGACACTAATGTGAAATATGTTTTTGTTGGTAACAACTATTTCCTTATCTACTTGTCCATCTTTAACAAAATAAAGGTCTTGATTTGGCTTTTGCTACTTTGAAAATTCATCTTGACCCTTTGGCTTAATTTTCTGTGGTTCTTTAATTTAACTGTGATTTTGTAACTGAAAAATCAGATAAATCAATACTTTATACTTATTGAGATAATAGTCTGAAGTCATAGAAAATGTGTGACATATACAGTATCCACGTGAAAAGTCCAAAAGAAATGCATTCATTTTTTTCGGCTTTTGTTTTTTTGCAAAAAAAACTGGCGTGACTTCACATTTTCCAGCAAATGTGTCACAAATACGCAAATTGCAGGACAGTTGAACGGCCTGATATTGCTTGCAATTTTGTCACCCCCTGACCCCCCCCCCCACCATATACGAAGCTCTGATTCTGCCTTCAATCATCAGATACATGTGAAAATGATCTTACCAGCTGCACACATAGCCGCATCACCCTCCATTTGTCATCAACAAAATATACAGTAGAGGTGTTGTGCTGGTCCACGTATATATGGTTGTGAAGTCCATATGCCTTGATATGTTGGTAGGAATACTGGTCAGTAGTCAACTTGGTCTCATCTAAATCTAGAATTGCAATTTATTCTCTTTCAATACAGATATGGTTGGCTTGTTCATAAAAATAACTTCTAAATAATTCATGTAATATAGTATGGAATAAAATAATTTATCATATCAATAAAACAGTCCATGACCATTCTATTGTGAGAAAGCAGAAAGATCCAACTACTGGCATGGCATGGCAAATATTTTGGGGCATTCTTATACAATGCACCAAAATCCTAAGATTTAGGTCACATCTGTGTATCATGGGGAACTCAGTAACCCCCACTACAAGTAAATGTATTACTATAGGAACGCATCGTGAGATATCACAGCCTTCTCTCAGTGTCCTTCTAGATTCTTGTGCATAGCAGAGATGGTCTGAGTATCAGAATGATAGGAACGTGTACACTGTAAATATTTGCCACTGTTAAATAATTACACTAAAACACTGAATGCAACAAATAAGTAATACTTCCAGTAATAATGTAAAAATTTAGACTAAAACATTTTTAAGTGAAAGCATAAATGTATCAGAGAACATTGAAAAATGAACTACATGTACAGGGTGGGACAAAAATGGCAACCCTGCATTTTCCTCATATCTATTTAAAGGATTTACACCCTGTTATTTTGGCACATTTGCACATCGTTCAATTTCCTACCATATTTCATGATCATCAAACTGATAGTCACAATGTTACAGCACCTTCAACAACATGCCCTAGGTATAGCCATCATCGCGCTGTAAGCAAACCTGCACAAGTTGTCAATAACCCGACTGCATTCCTCAGCAGGTATGGCCTGAAAGACATGGATGATCTCCCGTTTGAGGTCTGCAATTGTCCTGAGGTCATTCTTGTACACTCTATATTTGGTATATATCCCCACAGGTAGAAGTCAGGTACGGACATTTTGGACAATGTGTGCAGGTTTGCCTACAGCACAAAATAGGACCCACGGTCCTGTGCTCACACAGTTTGGAACCTTCAGAGGAATGTGTATCCTGACTTTCAAACAAAAATATTGATTTGGATTTGTAGTCTCGAACTTTGAGAAACTTAGACAGCACAGTTGTGTGACCTAGTCTGATGAAATTTTAACCTTGAAAATTTTACTTATTTAGAGCTCAGTAAGGTCTTTTGTGATTAAGCTGACCAAAATTTACATCCAAGAATCAATTTGAAAGGTCACTGAAGGTCAAGTAAAGGTCAAATCCTAAAACTAATGTCAGATTTGAACTCCTGGTAACTTGTAGATGATTTTCAAAAAAAATTTGGTCAAATTGAAGCAAGTTGAAAAATAACTTATTTTTACTGTTTTTTGACGTCAAATATCTCAAAAACGGTAAAAATTTGATGCTGACATATATTGAGCAATATGTAGGGAATGCATAAATCTAGTTATGATGTAATTCATTGCAAGATATGATCAAGTATAAGGCAAACTTTGAGAAACTTGTCAATCACAAAACCTGCCATTGACTTTATACATAAGAAAGTTTCCTGAAAATGACATGTCCTACTTTTTGTCAAATTTTATAGAGTAAACACCAAAAACTGTAATTCCAAGAGTTTTGAAATCTTCAGAGGACATAAGTTGCATATACAGCAACTACTACAAGTTATTTGAAAGTTCTACTACAACAAAGTGTCTAGTATTTACAGAAAATTTGACTTTTTGACGTCGAAATCAGCAATTTCTCGGAAACCGGGCGATGATAGTTCAAATAGGCATTATGGATATGCATAAAAAGACTGTGGATATGACTGCCCTTATAAAAAATTCAACCTTGAAAGTCCGAATTTAAACCGTTTCCATCAATCATTGAATACTGATTGTTTCAACTAAAATGTACTAAAATCAAAGGAAAAACCATTGTACGATGATAAGCAATCATTGTGCAATCATTGCATTCAACCAAGCAAAGTCAACTCTTTTTCAACGACTGTGCAACCATTTCTATACAATCATTGTAATCTGCAACCATTGTAAACTGCAACCATTTCACATTGAAATGTAAATGGTTGCAATATGCTTTGTTCAATGATTACATAGTTCAACCCCTGCAACCATCCTGAATTAGTATCATTCCAAAAAATAATCATTTTACCTGAAATTAAAATTATCTTAAAGTAAGGATTTGAATTTACCTCTATTCAACAACAGTATATTAGGATATTTTTTCTGCAAGCATACATGCATGTTTATTATAGTAAATTACTAAATCATGTTCATATGTTTCTTTCTCCAGTATGGATTTAGGAATGCGATACCAGACTAGTTTTCCACTCAATGGCATATGATAATTTATGTTCTCTGTCATTTAAATTATTTACACAATTAGAAGTACCATATCTAGTGTCTAATTCCCTTTATCTGATATTGCCAAAATGATGTACATGTATCTTTAATGTTATTATGAAAAGAATTGAGCAAAATTCCAATTTTGTTAAGAAATTGACAAAGGAAAATCTTAAGATTTCCTTTAAACTTAACAAAATCACAAGATTAGACACAATTGTTTTTGTTCATGATTAGACTGATATATGATCAAAAGTAGCAGGATATGATGTACAAAATAATACAAACATATGTAATCACAAGTTGATTGCTTTATTTAGTGGAAATGTTTTTATAGCAATAATGCATTCAGGCAGCAGACTTAATTTTCACAGTTTCAATTGGAAAACATCTGAATTAATAATTTCAGTAAAATTTTGTCAAGGTAGATGAATTATAGCTACACCCATGATATATAAATAGATTGGTATGGGCACATACTGATATCGGAGGGTTTAGCTTAGGACCCCCGCAAAAGTTTATATACAATGAACAGGCCAGTAGCCAGCCCCCTCAGCAAAATGGGTCTTCAAATGTTTCCATATATGTGTAGTTAACACCTAATATCAAGACTCATTAAAATTTAAAAATACAAACAAGAGAACTATTTTGATATTGACTGTATATTATGTGTGAAACACATTATTCACAACAGATTTAATTACCATGTTCTTTCTTGGCAAATATTTTTTATAACAATGCTCAACACAACAATGCCAACTACATACAGTATTGATATTCTCATGGGTTTAGGCAAATCAAAATGCTTGAACAGCCAATTAAAACAGTTGAACAGCTACATGTAATTAAAACGGTTGAACAGCTAATTAAAACGGTTGAATGGCTAATTAAGATGCTTGACCAGAAAAAGGGTTCATAGTCCTAGTTTCTGTTATAGCTATTTCCATCTTGTGTTATACTGTATATTTATTTTTATTCTCTATTTCATGCAGAGGGGGGGGGTAACAATTTAAAAAGTGTTTTCAGATTTTTGAGGGTTTATTTCTTTATTCAATTACTTCAATAAGTGCTGAGAAACCTCAAATAGCAAGTATATGAAACTGCAAATAATATTTTCAGGATTTTTTATTTCATTTTTATTTAGTTTGTTTTACCATGGGCATTCAATAGATTGAAAGTCCCTGGTTTTACTGTATTCACTAGGGCAGAGCATTTGTACTGAAAAGTGTTTTCAGTTTAAATAATATGTGTTAATGATTAAAAAATAAAAACCAAAACAGGGTTTATTTTTCAAACTCTAAACTTGGAAAAATCTAAATCTGGGAGATTTTCTCTGGCAAATTATTTATCAAGTTCTGTGTATGGACTAATTTAATTACATAGGATGCTTCCTTTATAGCAGACTCTAATCAAACTGAGAGTCTCTCTGTAATAAGGTTTGTTTTGCCTTGCCGAATTATTTTTGTTTTGTTTATGGATTAATGGATTAATAAATTTTCTTTAGACACATCCTTCAAAGCAGACTCTAATCAAACTAGAGAGACTGAGTCTAACTGTAATCAGAGTTTTTTAAGTTATGCTTATTGACTTAATTATTTAAAACACATCCTGTAATGTCTGATTGCATTTTCTCTATCAAATCTAAAATATCAAATCAATAAACAGATTATTTTCCGATTGAAGGATTTCTTACTTCCAGACACATCTTCCTTCCTTTATAATTGTGATGATTGCAAGGTGAAGAGTAAAATCCAAGACTTGACCCAATCAAAATTTTTTTAAATGTTTTTGCAATAACTTATAAAGTTGTGAAGGGATTTTTTTAAAATGATAGTCATGACACCGAGGGGATTTGCCATGCCTTAGCATTGCTATTATCTAGATAATATACATGTGAGTGGGACAATCACCATCCTTCAAAGTTAGATTAAAATTGGTTCAATATATTTTCATTCACAAGACAAGTTTACTCAACTATTTCAGTAGTTTAAATATCTTTTTGATCAAACCATTTAAATTCTGACATGTATGCATGAAATACATACATTTGAAATATATTTTTTAAAGAGCGAGATAATTATTTTATGTTGTATTGAGATAATATTGCCATAGTTTTAAAGGGTTGCATTCAATTGAAACGGTTGCAAGAAATGCAACCAAAATTGTCAAGCGTTTACAATGGTTACATATGATTGAAACATTTTCAATGAGTTTACAACCAAAACTGCAATGGTTGCATCGTAACGGTTGGCATGGTTGCATAAATGATCGGATCAATGATTGTACAATGATTGTGCAACAGTTTAAATTCGGATTTTCAAGGTTGAGTTTTTTATAAGGGTCAATCCGAATAGCAATTTTAATTTGTGCGGCCAATGTTGACGGACGGGCGGACCAACGGACGGACGGACGCCTGGTCGATCCCATAGGCTCACTGTGTGAGCCAAATATTAGTGGCCACTAGAGCATGTTGTGCTGTAAAATTGTGACTACTGTATCAATCTGATGGTCATGAAATATGGTAAGCCAGTAGAAAATAGAATGATGTACATTTGTGCCAAATATCAGGAAATTTCCTAAAATGATGAAGAAATGGTGAAGATAGTGACAGGGTTACCGTTTTTTTACCACTCTGTACATGTGAGGAATGAGAAAGCTAAGAAATTTGCGTGAAAAAGGTGTGATTTTTAAAACATCATTGCTTTGTTTCAGATATCAATGCATCGCCACAATCAATTTTGCAATGTATCGATATATCGTTTACATGTTTTTGCGACAACACTTATATGCACATGTACCTGTACATGTAGGTGGTCTGATCTACAAGTACAGTATTCACATTTTACAAGAGCATACATGTTCATGAAATTTATCCAAAATTATTCATGAAAAGGAAACATACAAGTAGATTATGCTAACACCAAAGAACTGAAGAGGATGAAAAGTCCCAGAGCTTTAGCGATGACTGACATAATACGTCTCTTGCGTACCACCTTTGTTTGCGCAAATTCTCACCAGTTAATTTCGACAATTGTTCTTACTCTAGACTTTGCTGTGTCGACACGCTAGAGGACCGACAAATAAATTGTCGGTACGGGAGACTTTGCTGTGTTGACACGCTAGAGGACCGACAATTAAAATGTTGGTACATGTACTTTAGCTAGTAATCTAGTAGGAAATGCTAAAGAACCAAATGTCGGCACTGAAGCCTCTCCTAATAGGATCTAATAGAGAACTGATTGGTCTGTGGGTCTGCTAAATGCTGTAAAACATGCTAAGTGATTTCGCCTTTATTTGCCTGAATCAAAATCGCGAATTCAAAACTGTGTATTTTCCTGAGTAACGTGGATAAATTAATGGAACAAATGAAGAATAAAATCTACTGGTATACATTATTTCTAGTAATTGTGTTTTGTTTGGACAATTTTGATGGAAGTTGCATCAATTTTTGTCGAAATATATTATGGCTAACTATAAGTTAATGCCTGCACGATTCCATCCCGCGAAAGAAGCACTATGCCCCCCTCAAAAAAAAGGAGGTATACATTATGTATGACAGGATTCGAACTCGGTACCAAGTATGTACGAGTCGCGCTCGCTAACCACTAGGTAGTTCAACGTCGCTAAACTCAATAATGGCGTTCTTTACTATTAGGAATTTTCTTGTGGCCGTTATTGAGTTTAAACTCTTTACTTTTCTTTCCTTTGATGCAAGTTCTGGATCCATCGAAACCATTTTGCTGCGATAACATGCAATTGATACTTGACAGTAATATAAAAACACATACATGTAACACCAAGCGAATGTTCATTTATACTAGTAAAATGAGGCTACACTTACCAATCTCTAAAATGACATTTCGGCATGTCCGTCATTGTGTCTGTTCGTCCGAGTGTACCGGATCGTAAAATTAAACTACTAGCGAAACGAAATTGTTGTCAAATAGATTGGAAATTATTATCACGATTACTCGGCATAAAAAGATAAATTTTGAGGATAACAGGTATGTATGCATGCTTGAATCACATTCTTTGTGTAATATTACCATGGTTTCAGGGTTTAATTAGTTCCGCTTGTCGAAACCTGCGGAACGATTAAATTAAAGCATCAAGGGCAAAATAATCATGGAGGTTAGACCTAGCCGGGCCATAAGACATGTCAGATAAGAAACGAGGCCCAGGCTAGGTCTAATGTTGTTGGACTAACCACTAGGCTACCAGCGATGTGGAAATTTTAAGTAAAAGTAGTGGATTGATTTTTGAAATTGTCGGCTCTCTAGCAAATTAGTGTTGTCGCGATTAATCGATACATCGCGATATACATTTAATTTGCTAAAAATCGCCCTTTCTTATCTTATTTTGACGCAAATTGCTTGCCTTTTTTCATGTCTTATTTCATTTTCTGATATTCTTTCGCTTTAAAACTGTTTTAGCTAGTCGAAATGAACCATTAATCTAAAAAGATTTAATTTACTTTCATTTCACCGTTACTAGAAGTTCCCGGATGTACCAGCGTACTCTTATTAATTTGTTCTGTTCGGTATTTTAGTGCATTAGCGTTTGGTATTTCAGTGCACTTTTCTCGAACTTTTTCTCGATGTACATCGCGATGTGCATCGATGTTTACTACTGAAAATTGCAATTGACAATTGTCGGTACCCCAGCAAATACCCACTGTTTACTCACTTCGAGAGCCATGTTAGATTTTGAAACTTATGGCTCTCAAACGGAGAAGTGAACAGCTGATCAATAGTGACCTTTGAAATTGAATTAAGTCGATCCGCGGCTTACTTTTGGTCTCTAACTTTGTCTTACATCAGTATCATCAATCCGTGTAAGTAGTGGAGCGCTGGAGTACTTCTTTTTCGATCAAGACTTGTAAATTGTTCATCGAGTTAAAGTTTTACAGACCTATTTCCAATATGGCGGTTTGCTAGGTGCGAGATACGCAACGAACGAAATGAATTTTGAGAATTAGTTAGGTTCAGACAACCTCCGGAGATTTACGAAAATGTCCGAGCAGAAACCGCCATATTGGAATTTGGCAGTAAAACGATTCACTCGACTAACGAATTACAAGTCTTGATCGAAAAAGAAGTACTCCAGCGCTCCAATACTTACACGGATTGATGATACTGATGTAAGACACAGTTAGAGACCAAAATGAAGCCGCGGATCGACTTAATTCGATTTCAAAGGTCACGATCACTGAGCTGTCCAAATGCTCCGTGGGAAAGCTATTATATCAAAATCCAAATAGCTTTCGCAGGAAGTAACCCACTGTACAATCTCCAGTACCGACAATTGTCGTATGTCATCTTTGAACTCTGGGGTTAATCCCCCTCTTGAAGAACTGGGGACGTGGAAGTTTGTTTCGTCATCATTGAAGAAAATAACCTCAGCACAAATAAAAAATCATAACTTGTCGACAAGATTTACAATTATTTTATCTATTTTGATAACCAAATTGTACTTACTGCTTTCCAGAGGGACTTCATAAGTTGGAAGTGCTTCCAATGACAGCTTATAACCGTCAAAATTTGGATCTAAAAGGTTTCTGTTAACTTTTAGTTCAACTTGGAAATCCATGCTTGGGAAATACCTAGTGGGAAATTCCATCCTCGTTTTGATAAGCCTCGTTTTAGAAAGTAGGTCAGCAAAATTGAAAACTTTTGCTTTTGTATTGATTGTCAAATTACCGGTATATGAACGTGTTTGTGTTAGTAAAACTCAACTATCGATGTACTGATTTGATTGGTGATCATTTTGGACTGATTTTCATCCAGCTGTTTATCAAAACTATGATGAAAATTTGGAAGTTTTCTAAAAATCGAAAGGGGATTCCCCATTTTTAACTTTTGGAATTTCCCAGAAATAAAAACAAATGAATTGCCCATGTCAAAGTTAAGTAAATTGGGAGCGATAACGACATGAACCAAGTTAGAATATGAAGATTTTATCAACGCAATTTACTGAGACAATATTATAAGGTAAGCTTAGGCCGTTTCATTGATTTTCTTCTATTTAAAAACTCTAAAAACAAAATAAGAAAATATTTTGTTTGACGATAGTAAGACATGTAGGCTACCCAGACAATTGTGGATTCAACTACACGAAAATAATGCTAAAATACCAAGGAATCTATTGAAGTAGGTATCTTAAGTGTAACGGGCGTAGATACAGGCCCGTAAGACACTTTTCTCCAAGGGGGGTGCGGTTTTTAGCTTACTAAAGAGAATATAAAATTGTCAATTTTTTGCCGCGTAAATCAAATCGCGTAAGTCAGATGGGGGGGGGGGGGGGGCTCAGTTACTCTCTATATTGGTTTGGAATTAACAAATGCAACTTCCAAACGTTCCAATTGTTTTGTGGGGGTCGTGACGAGTGGTCCACTCCCCCTAGAAAATTTTACAGTTTTGAGATGCTATTTGGTGCTTTCTGGGCACTTTCAAAGTGTAAGTTTCCAAGTAGTACGCCACCACCACGGGAATAAGAAAATTTTACAGTTTTGAGATGCTATTTGGTGCTTTCTGGGCACTTTCAAAGTGTAAGTTTCCAAGTAGTACGCCACCACCACGGAATAAGAGTTGAGTAAATAAAAACCGAGCATTCAGGGGGGTTGAAATTTGGTTGTATTTGGAGCGAATTTGCAACCATCTGGTACGCCTGTGCGTTATGAGTCAATAAGAAAAATGTGAATTTTTTTTCAAATTCTTTTGGGGGTGTCAAAGAGGATGAGAGGGTGAAGTGGGGTGGGGGCCAGTAGGGGAGCAAGGAATATTTTCTTTTGTTTTGTGGGGGATCTGAGGTGTGGCTAACTCTCCTAGAAAATTTTACAATTTAAAGATGATATTTGGTGCTTCTGGACACTTTTAAAGTGTATTAGTCAATAAAAACATTGAAAAACAAGCACATCAAATTTTGGGGTTGTCAATGGGGGGGGGGGGGGGGGGGGTGCCAGAGGGGGAGGTGGGGCTGGGGTGCCAGAGGGGAGCAAGTGTTTGTCCACCATATCAACATTTACAATATCAAGATGCTATTCGATGAAGTTTGGGCACTTTAAAAGTGTCTGTGCCTAAAAGTGCCTATTTCCCAAGAAAATTTTACAATTTTAAGGTGCTATTTGGTGCTTTCTGGGCACTTTCAAAGGGGGTGTTAGGGGGGGGGGGCTGCCAGAGGGGGAGGTGGAGTGGGGATGCCAGAGGGCGAGTAAGTGTTAGTCTTCCAGAATCATTAACTTTATCAAGGAGCTATTTGATGATGTCTGGGCAATTTAAAAGTGTCAATACATAAAACAAAATCAGAACTTTTCCATTGTTTTGTTTGGGGTGTGAGGGGTGGCCCACTCCCCCTAGAAGATTTTACAATTTTACGACGCTATTTGGTGCTTTCTGGGCACTTTCAAAGTGTATGAGTCAATTAAAGAATTTGAGAAAATCACAATTTTTTGGGGGGGAGGGGGTCAAGGGGGGGGGGGGGCGCCAGAGGGAGGGGGGTTATGCAAGTGCAAGATGCAAGAGGGGGAGCAAGTCCCCCAGAAACACTTACTATATCAAGGAGCTATTTGATGATGTCTGGGCACTTTGAAAGTGTCTGAGACAAAACACTAAAATGAATTTAGAACTTTTCCATTGTTTTGTGGGGGGTGTGAGGGGTGGCCAATGCCCCTAGAAAATTTTACAATTTTAAGATGCTATTTGGTGCTTTCTGGGTACTTTCAAAGTGTATGAGTCAATGAAAAAAAATTACAAAAAAAATATTTTTCAAAAAAAAAAATTTTTTTCACAATTTTTTTTTCAAATTTATTTTGGGGGGGTGACAAAGGGGGGTGCGGTCGCACCCATCGCACCCCCCCATCTGACGGCCCTGAGATAGTTCTCCCAAGTTGTAATCGTACAGGCAAAAGATTGCGTTCGGTCACGCGATAAGTGAACACTACAATGTACATGTATACTACATTTATAGCCATTACTCAACCAACCAATGCATTTCTTATCATTTCTAAATTATCATTGGCTAGTATGTTTACAAACAGGAGACTGGCTGTCTGAATTTTGTCATTAGACACACTGTATGCCACTCAGGGGTATATCCAGGATTTTGCCAAGTGGGATACCAATACATCTAAAAACAAAGAAACCGTCCTCATCATCAAACATGTACATTTGTAGTTTTAGCTTGCACTTGAATCCAGCTCTTCTACAGCTCTTTCTCCAAAGCTCATACAGTACAGTAGTTCTTCTTTCCTCTGAGTCTCTTTCTCCTTGGCAACACAAACAAAATCCCCAGGGAAAATTAACTCAAAATAATTGGCTCAAAAAGGGGGGATGCTAGTACACCCAATACACACAACCTCCCCTCGGACACCCATGCATGTGTGAATATAAATAATGTATAAATGACTGTTGTTCTCTGTCTAGAGGGGGTCGAAAGCATCAATATGTAGTACAAAATGGAAGATCACAATGACAGCTATTCCCTTATAAGTGTCTGTGCTCATTGTGTACACAACAACCTTATGTGTCACAAAATATGATGGAGTAAAAGTAAAATGCGTCTTATGGATCACTCGTCCTTTGAAGTACATGTACATTGTTGCTCATTTTAGTAAAACCAAGCTTCTAAATTCGCCATACATGTAGTTGAATTATGTAATTTCTAGATAGAACGAATATTTGTATTAAATGTCTACTGAGTTTCACATTTTCTTGATTGTATTTGTAATGTAAGTCTATCTGACCTGGATCACTTTACATGTAAAAATCTCAGATAATATTATATAATGTACTTCTTATCATAAAGCTCAGCAGTTTATATTGTTCTCCTATTGCTCATAGTTCTTAGGAAAAATCCCTTGCTGTATTTACCTGTAATATATTTGCTTTAACCTGTATTTTCCAGCTTACACCAAAAACAACTACAGTTGCATTAACATTTGAAAGAAAAACAAAATGCCAGCCGAAAGACAACATCATTTTGCAATAGTGAAGAGGTCAGATTTGGACACATATACAGATGATGATAAACTTGGACAGGGAGGATTTGGCACTGTATTCAAGGTAAGTCAGTTTCCTGAGAGTATTACTTGTTACGTTAATACATGTAGTTCCTTTGAAGTTTTGTGGCTTGTTCTTTTGAATAGAAATAATGTTGGATTAATAGGACGATATGCACTAGCATGAACAGTACATTCATATTCCTACATTGCCAATTTGAAAGTTATGTTAAATTAAATGTACATATTCCTGTATAATTTTTTTAATTCTATCTTTTTTCAAGATACAGTGTACCTACAGATGAACTGCAGTATAATTTAAACTACATTGTTTGATTATTTAATGATAACTTCCTAATAAACTGTGCCCTATAGTTACTGTTATAGTTACTTTTTCAACATAATGTCTTCCCTTGGCACACTCATGCATTTAACCTGTGATGGAGACAGAGTACTAATCATTTCTGATAAAGCTTTAAAGGTTATCAGCGCCTTAAGATTAGCTGTAACATCTATATTTTTAAACATTTGTTGCAAAACTATAGCACTTGTTAAACCTCAAAAAACCTAGGAGTGGATCATCATTTTCCAAAACAGCATTGATAAATAAAGTGACAAACATCTTTATTTTTTAGGTAAAACATAAACAATGGGGAATGAAAGCTATTAAAGTTCTAAAAGATGCTCAACAAATATCTGAAGAGTAAGTCTGAATCTCTATTGTCTCATTCATTATGGACTGCATTGGATATCTACATTGTTTTACTATCTATGTAGCTGTTCAGTCTGAATGTAAATATGTAGTATTCTACAGGGTGTCCAATAAATAAGGTAAAAGATATTGTAACTTTCTTAATATTGCACCAATCTTGATGAAATTTTCAGAGTTTTTAGCCCAAACGTTTTTACCTTTATTCTGTGAATCTAAAGCGTCTTCTATTTGATTGGCCAGAGTTGTGATTGCTATAGCATCTGAAACAACAAAAAGGCGGGGCAAGTTTGTTTACGTCACAACTTTCCAAAACATATTTATTCTTTCTGATAGCTTTATTCATACTCCCAGGTCTATTACTACCACAAATACAATATAAAAACAGTCCTAAAGTCCCATTGTTATAAAAATAAGCTATTCAACATATATAATGTCCATCTCTAGCTATTCACTTCTTATGCCTATTCACCCACTCTCTAAACACACTTTCAAACCCATTCTTGCCCATTTTCTGAAGTCTTGCTAAGACATGTGATCTGCTGAGTTCACACACAGCTATGCTCACTAGTGAATTTATTAGGGCACTGGGGCTACCCCTACTTGCACACCCTCCATATTCCCCAGACCTTGCACACAATGATTATTACTTATTGCAGAACTCAAGTGTGACTTGAGAGGAAATAAATTTGGAAGCACTGATGAACTCAGATCACATGTTGTATCAAAACTTCAGGAAATGGGCAAGAATGGGTTTGAAAGTGTGTTTAGAGAGTGGGTGAATAGGCATAAGAAGTGTATAGCTAGAGATGGACATTATGTTGAATAGCTTATTTTCATAACAATGGGACTTTAGGACTGTTTTATATTGTATTTGTGGTAGTAATAGACCTGGGAGTATGAATAAAACTATCAGAAAGAATAAATATGTTTTGGAAAGTTGTGACGTGAACAAACTTGCCCCACCTTTTTGTTGTTTCAGTTGCTATAGTATAGCAACCACAACTCTGGCCAATCAAATAGAAGACGCTTTAAATTCACAGACTAAAGGTAAAAATCAAGATTGGTACATTATTAAGAAAGTTACAATATCTTTCACTTTATTTATTGGACACCCTGTATGTCTTACTCTTAATGGTTTCAATACTACAGTAGGTATTCCCTTATGACCTCATAGTTTTAAGACCAAGATGACTCAAGATTTAACCTTTAATAGTAAATAGTATACTATGTCTTACTCTTTATGGTTTCAATTTGGGGTCCCAAGATTCATTTTTCACCGATTCGATTCAAATCTCGATATTTACCTAACGATTCGATTAATGATTCGATTCAATTCATAAAGCAAGGAAGTCAATATTAAAATAATACTGTACGCGAATTTGACTGAAATATACACAACTCCACCAACACAATTTCGGTAATTTGTTGAACGGCAATGAAAATAAAAAATGAACATTTCGAACTAATTAAAAATGGCAGAATACGGATGTTTATATAGCTTGGTCTCTTACTTCGCTACTAAAATGTCAAAAAGTAAAGCTGGCTTATTTTAATCCCTGTTTGTTGAAGATATTAATAAATTAGTTTAATGTTCGCATTTTTTTCGGTGTTGGGAATTGACCAGAAATCTAAATTAAGGCGACGCTCGTATTTTGATATGCGGCGTGTCATAGATCCAGAAAAAAATAAACAAACTGTTCGACAGCTGACATTTTCTCCATTTCTAGACCAAAATAAGGCATGTATAGACTTAAATCTCTTTCAGAACGATAATCGATATCAGCGATATTATAGCCACAAGATTGATTCACTCGGATCGCTACAAAACGAGCCGATTTATCGATTAATTCGATTAATCTCGGGACTCCTAGTTTCAATACTACATGTAGGTATTCCCTTATGACATCATAGTGTTAAGACCAAGATGACTCAAGATTTATGATGATTGAATATTTATGAATTTCCAGTGAGAAAAAGAAGTTACTTAATGAAGCAGAAAAGATGGCGAAGCTGCAGCATGAAAACATCTTACGTATTCTTGGTGTCATCATGGAACCAGGAATGTATGCTATTTTGTTTGAATACATCGCAAACGGATCATTGGATAGCTTTTTGAAGAAGCGTCAAGTTCCTCTGCCAATCATAGTGAAGTTTGTGTATAAGACAATATTGGGAATGAATTACCTTCACACGAATGTACCTACTATTTGTCATCGGGATCTCAGAGCTGCCAACTTGTTGGTTACTGATGCTTTTGACATAAAGGTATGTATTATAATAGGGGCCAGTTCAGTATATCACTGTTTTTCATTATTAATTAAAGTACAGTAAAACCTGTCTTAACCGAATGCCACTGGGACCATCAACCAAAAGTGTTCAGATTGGCATTGGCAGATGGACACTTTTCAAGGTTTCTTTAACATGAAAGTCTGCAGCAGATCAAAATATTTAACCAAAAAGTGTTCACATTGAGAGGTGTTCCGATTAGAGAGGTGTTCCGATATTCAGTTTTTTGTTAAACCCACTTGATATTGGCATCAGTAAAAATGATGCAAGACCTGGCCCCATAAATTAAAATAAGGATTCACATATTCACAAGCGAAATAAGTTTGGTGAAAATCTATTTCTCCTTTACTAAAAGGATAAAATATGTACATATTTGACCAAAATATAAAAAAATTAGGATTGACATGTAAATTATCATCCCATTGAGAAATAAATAAGGTGAGATAGCAATAATCATGATTCTTTTTATCGTACCTAAAAAGGTACGATATTGTCGTCAGCTTGACGGGTGGGCAGGTGGCATCTCACTTTCTTGTCATTGCGATTCCTGGAAAACCACGTAACAGATTTATTATGCACATATGTACAGCATAAAACATGCGTCTAAACCACTTCTCACTAAATATGGCATAGTAAATTGTAAAACAATGCTTTTCAAAACCATATTTTCAGATTGCGGATTTTGGTCTCTCCCAGTGGAAGACATACACGCAACGCCATAGCACAAGATTGAGTGCAGAGCTCAACAAGTTTGGTTCATTCACCCACACATCACCTGAAAGATGGCGTAACTTACAAGGCCCTCCAGAGAAATACCATGATGTCTATGCATTCGGGATAACCCTATGGGAGATAGGGTCTAATGGGAAACAGCCATACCAAGGTAAACCATTCAATCTGTCAGGTCACTATTCGTATGAGTTTATTCAGTCATATTAGATTTTTTAAATTAATACTTTTTCCCTCCTTGAAATTAAAAACCTATTAAAAAAAAGATTCATGATATGTTTTTCAAATTATTGTTTCAAAATATTTTCAAAATATTGTTTCAAATTACCATTTAGGTCAATTTAAAGCATAAATTCTTTTTTGATCACGCCTTACCTGTTGACTTAGAAAATCCCCACATGATATAATGGAACTGATGAATATTTCAGGCCGAAATGCATTTGAGGTAACAAGGATGGTAACAGGAGGTGAAAGACCAAATATGGTATCCATTACTAATAACTTCCCAGAGTTCTTGTGTGACATGATGATGGCATCGTGGAGTCCAAATCCCGAGACACGACCAACATTTGAAGGTAAGGCATGTTATATGATTGTATAATAGCATTGTATAACTGCAATATAAAACCAACACTCATCGTATATAACTCTTGAAAACGATATACAACTCCGGGATAGCGTATGCAACTCCTCGGCAACGTATACAACTCCTCGACTTGATATACAACTGCTGAATTTAGATTAACCTTCTATTGATTAAAGATTCGTCGCTGTGGGATAATAAGATCGCTATAATGGTTGATTCTGTATATCCTTATACTCTCGTGAGTATATGATATATTCACTCGTTCCTGTATATCATATACTCACTTGAGTATAAACACGATATACGGAATCAACCATTTATATAACCTCATAATATATATGATATATTAAATTGAAACACTTTTTCAGCTTTGAAGAACTTCATAGAAAAGGGTATGACAGAGTACATGACAGAGGATGCACAGCACATAGCTACAGTGCAGTTGCTACAGGAAATGGTACAACCCCATATTCAATTCATTTATTTTCAAACAGAATCCCACTGAACGAAGTTTGAGGGACATATAGAAGCTGTCAGTTTGTATGTCTGTTTATCCAGGCGATAACACAAATACTGGTTGACAAATTTGATTCAAACTTTACAGGGTTATATCTTATGGATGTAGGACCTCTGCTTGAGAAAGAATTTTTAATATGGCCGCTAAATTCAAAATGGCCACGATTTTTTGTAAAAATGTAATCTTTGATATTTCGAATACTCGTTGACGGACACAGGAGTTCTGCTCAAGAAATCTTTTCGAAATGGCAGCTGAACTTCAAAATGGCCACCATTTTTTGTAAAAGAATGTAATCTTAGATAAACAAAATATCAGTTGACTGATTAGCTTAAAATTTTATATGCTGGTGCCCAAAGGGACAAAGGAGCACTGCTCAAGAAGAAACTTTCAAAATAGCAACTGAATTTCAAAATGGCTGCCATTTTTCATAAAATACTTGTTCCTACGTAGATAACTCAAATACCAGTGTACGGATTTGGTTCCTATTTTATATGCTGATGCCTAGGGACAAAGAAGCACTGCTTGAGAAGAAATTTTCAAGTTGACAGCTTAATTTCAAAATGGCCACCATTTATGTAACTCAAATGCCCAGTGAGGGGATTCTGTCCAAATTTTATTTATATGACCATGCCTAGGGACAAATGAGCCCTGCATGGTGCAAAGAAATTTTCAAGATGGCAGCTGAGTTTCGAAATGGGTATTTTTCGTAATTTTCAATTACCACTGATGGATTTGATTTAAATTTCATATGAGTGTAACTACATAAAAGGGGAATGAAGCTCTGTTCTAGAAGAAATTTTCAAGATCATTGCTATTTATCTTTACATGTTTTGTTGGGATTTGCTACTCCATGGAGATGCTCTGTTCTAGTTCAAAAATAAACAATCACAGTGTGACAATATATAACAAACATATCAAAATGTACATTGTATCGGTACAGTTCATAAATTTTATTTGCTTTTCATGTACTTTGTAGAATTCTGTTTGTTTGACCATTTTGATGGTAATCTTGATAATATGGGATTTATCTGAACTTATGTGTTACAGGGCAGGCATATACAGCCTCAACAATCGCAGTCAGTAGCACAGCAGCAAAATCAACAGCAAGTTCAGCAAAACTACCAAGAACAGGCTGCCAGGGCTGGCAATGCACCTGTGCCTGAATTTCTAGATTACATGGTAGCATCAGGTGATCAGCAGTTACCTAGAGGAGGTCTTCGTACAGATGGTGCAGCTAAGGGACTTCATGGAGGTACATTTAATCCCATTTTTCTATGTTTGTCTTATATCAACATGTATCTTTAAAACATTAGGGAGAGCAGAAGAAGCAACATACAGTGTACATATAATATATATTTGAGTTTTAAGGATTTCTTTGTTATACTGAATTGCTCATAAAGTCACAACAAATGAGTGACCATACTATGATAAGTTCATAGTTTTTATGTTTGTCTTGTACATGAAATATATGTTTCATAGAAGTTAGAAAACCTGACTTTGCTTATTTTCAAATTCATGAAAACCTGAGACCCAATAATTATTGAACAAATTGAGCCTTCACTTTTTGCAGGTTCAACAAAGAGGCAACCAGAGGAACAGGATGAGTCTCTAATAGGTAGCAACCAGAGACCTCCAATATCTGGTCAACAGAGGGGAATATTGGAACCTGGAGATGTTGCTACAAGGAGTCTTACTCCAAAGGAAGCAATACAGTGGGATGGTATTTCACCTCAACCACGGCAACAAGTACGGAATCAACCTCCACAGCCCTATGTGCCAACTAATGATCTTGTTGTTCATGATGAGGTGAACAACTCAAAGCCTTTGCCCCAAGAAAATGAAAATCCACGAGAAATTTTTCTTCAGCCTCGAGATGTCAGAGGTGCTGCCCCTGAATCAACCCCAATGTCATTAAACTCACCAGGTGGCGCCACTAATACTGGTAACCATGGTATCCGGGCCCGACCTGAAAACACAATAAAAAACATGGAAGCTGCCGCCTTAAGGGTTACTGGAGGGATGCACTATGACATTGGGCTTGCTACACTACCTGAGAATATGGATGTTGAGGACGGTGTGCAAAACGGAGGGGCCAGACCAAAAAGCAACCTACCACGAAATGTTCGAAGGGATGCTCCAGGTGAGATAATGTAAAATCAGTATTATAGGTTAATTTAACTGTAATTACTCCATTTTTTATGTCCCCCCTCACATAGTGTGGGACCATATTGTCGGCCTAGGCGCATCTGTCTGTCCATCTGTCCGTCCGTCCGTAGGTCCGGCACTTTTCTTCAAAACCTCTACAGATAAATTTTCAGGGATAACTTATGAGTACATACAGATGTGAACGAAAATTTTTAGCTTGATACCTACTTCCTGTCGGCCATTTTGAAGTCAAATGCTAAAATCCTTGTCTGCAAACCAGAGGGGGAGAAACACCAGGGTTCAAAGATGACATACGCTTATAATGTAAATCTGTATTGAGATGACACGGTCGCTGATTGGTCAAAAGTCGACAAACAAATGACGTCATCAATGGCGGTTTCAAAATTTTCGAAATACGCTTCGAATAATATTATGTTCATTTCTGGCATGTTAACCAATATCATAGCTTCTCATTTCACATCAAGATAAAGAAAGGTGTACGGAATATGCCTATATCAATTATAACATCCCATCGAAGTGTAGTATTTTATAACTAGCCGATGAAAATTCGAACGAACGAAGGTGGTAAGCAAGAGAGGTAATTATGTCTGTCATCTTGAAACTCTGGGGCTTTCCCTCCTCTTTCTGCAAACATTAAGAAAAATGGTTTCATGGTTGCTTGTAAAACTTTAAAATCTTGTTCAGCTCACTTCATTCTACATCTGATTAGGTCTAAGACCTGTTAGCTCAGTCATGGCAGCCATTTTGAATGTCTTAAGAAAAGTTAGCACGCTATAATACTTTGTATCATATTGAACGTTGTTTTTGAGTTTTCATACTTTAACTACGTAGCTTTATAAATAATTTCTGGTGTACTTTGTTGTAAAAGCCTATGTTATTGTTTACAGTATTTATGTGATAATTTTGTAAAAAGAAATCAGCTAAAACTAATAATCACTTTTTTATTGTCGGCCATTTTGGATTGTCTACTCAGGGATTAACCATTTGACAGGATCACCCGTCAAAATCTTGTCTGTAAAGTCTTGTCTACGCGTTTTCAGGTGAACTGTTTGGTAGATCATTTTCAAATTTTCAGGGATGATTCTTAGTACGAAAATCTAGAACTGGTAAGTTTTTTGCATTCTGGGCAAATGTCAAGGCAGCCATTTTGGATTTTTCCGTCAGTCTGTAAAGTCTTGTTTACCGCGTTTTCTGGTTAACTGTTTGATGGATCAATTTCAAATTTTCAGGGTTGGTTCTTAGTATGAAAATATCTAGAGCTGACTAATTTTTTGGCATTCTGGGTAAATTTTAAGGTGGCCATTTTGCATTTACCACCCGAAAATTGTAACAGTAAAGTCTTGTCTACTCATTTTCAGGATAACCTTTTGACGGGATCACCCATTGGTGGGGACATATTGTACACATTTGTGTTCTTGTATAAATATTCTGAAAAGACTTAATATCATGTTTATTCACATTAGTGGTTTTCATAAACTACAGCTGCAATACATGACATTATTCAGATTTAAATGATGTGAACTCAGTGATTTACCATGGTTAGAGCAAGGGTACCATAGTAGCTACTGTTCTGATGTTAGCTTGAATTGTTACATGTTAATTTAAGTAGGCTAATTGTTTCCTGTATGACACCAGCAAATAGAAAACAACCCAGAGAGATGCTGCATTTATGTTCAATACAAAACTGTACATTTAATTGTATGAGGTTATATAGTTTGTCAGCGCTTGGTCTATCCCTATATTTTTCTGAAGTACACCCTGTAGCTCATGTGTAGGATATACATTCATGTACTGTACAGTATAGTGTACACTATCAGGCACCGTAGCCAGGATTGACTTTTTATAAAATTCCAAGAGGATTTACTTTTGACAAGTTTAGCCGAAAGATTGGTGAAAAACCCAGGTTTTTGAAAGAATTTTTCGCTCAAACCCTCCGGCTATGTGCCTAACTGTATTCCAAGTGAACAGTGTATTATTTGTTTTGCTTCAGATGTAGAAATGAGAGAAGATAACAGCAATAAATACAAGAGTATGCAAGAAACACAGCCAGAACCAGAGTTAGGACCTTTCGGTAAAATAGGTTTCACTATAAAATCTCTTTCATGTTTCTTATTCGGTGATGGGTTGAAAAATGCATCATATGACATTAAATATCATGTAATGTTTCCCTATCAAGTCTTTGTATTTCATTTACTCCATTGGTTAGAGTATTCTTCCTCCAGAATGGTTGTCTATTCATCTATAACATCTAATATATGATGAATCAGGACCATAGCAGCGATGTTATTTTGTTCTGTTTTATGGTATACCTGTCCACTTCCAAAATTATGTGGTCTCATTGACATACTAATACTGTTAAATACCTTGCATGTATTAATGTTTATATTGTACCGGTGTGTAGGAGTGAAACTTGAGCCTCGCCACACACGTGGAACACCTGTGGATGACCTTCCCGATTATGTAGATGAGGATATGGAGGATGACAGCATTCACAAAGAGAAGGAAGAGGCAAAGAAAAAGGTGAGGAGATAACCACTTTTCAGGAAAATATTAATTACTGGACTATTTATGGTTCTCATATAATCAATGTAAGCTCATATTTAATGTTATCCACTAAATTAAGCTCTATGGAATCATTTTAGGAAATTTTGAAAAGTGATAAAGGTTAAACATTGTACTGTATGAATATCATGACTTGCATGTACACATCACAAGTAATATATCAGGAGTACATTATTATAACATGAATATGACTATAACGAGTGTTCTGTAAGGTTTGCATCATTCAATAAGTGAATCATGTTATTTCAGAGTCAAAGGTCAGGTGGGGAGCGTAATCCAGACATTGTCCATAAACACAGTATGTATGACTACTTGTATGACTTTAAATATTAGACTTTTAATATGAATATTTGTAATATGTGAGAAAGAAAAACTTATATTTTAATCGATTTGTTACCTTTTGTTGCACTATTGATCTCGCTATTTAAAGAACGAAACATTTTGTCAACGTTTTATTTTGATTGGTTATGATTTCACAAATTCTGAATATCAGCAAGCTTGGGCAAAAATAAGTTTTACCTATGCACAAATAGCTACTATAAGTTTCTGCAGGATCATGTTCATATTGAACATGTACTGTACATGCACAAGGGTAATTCAATAAAAATGTTCACATATCCAATGTTTATAATGGAATCAAGTTATACTTTTTACATTTGCACATCTTCAAACATTGAAAAATTAAATTAATTCTTTTCCTTAATGAACATGAAAATGCATTTTCACAGTGTTTATTGAATAACCCTCATATTATTATATACATGTGCACATATGTACAGTAGTTGAATAAACATCAACTTTTCTAGAATCTGGAGCAGAGACACGTATCTACAATGCTGGTGGAGCTGGAAACATTCAGATTGGGAATAACAACTTCATGGTTGTCGGCAATCCTGATGGGGTGGTTGATCTGAATGTTGGTGACATCATGCGTGATGTTCAGAGTACAGTGTCTGGGGCATTGAATTCTAGTGGTATTGATATACACAGTGGGAACATCAACATTCAAGGAACAAATATTAACTTGGGTGGAAGGAAACCACCGAAAGTTATAAAGGGAACGATAACCAGTAAGTTTTTTTGATATTACAAAGCAGTGATCTCCTCAGGATTTTTTCTCGAGTGGGTGCAAAATTCTCATTTTCACAACTCAGGCCAAAATTTGTCAAAATATGCCAATTTTTCATGATTTTTCTCATTTTCAAGTGGGTGCAAATGGATTTTTCAGGTGGGTGCAAGGCTGTTTTCATGATCTTAGGTGAGTGCTGCGCCCACTTGCTTTAATGCTGGGGAGACCACTGCAAAGTGTTTGATAAACTTTAATTTGTTGATTTGAATTAGTAATTTGGCTAATTAACTCATTATCAATGATATCATGTATACACAAATCAAAAATTAACACCCAGCTTTTGTGGAAGATTCAGAGAAAAGAGAACATTTTCCATTCCAGAATCACAGCGTAAAATAACAAATAACGACATAGATATCTGTGCAAGGCATACTGGGAAATATTGGAAGAAGCTTGGTAGAGAGCTTGGATATAGTGACGGACAATTGGATAATTTTGAACACGACAATTCCCAGTCGATGTATGAAATGATATATCAGATGTTGCGCGATTGGAGATCCAAGAAAAGTGGCCAGGCTACTGCAGGTCTTCTTGCTAAAACTCTGAATGCAGTACAGAAGGCCGATGTTGCTCTCAAAATCCCTAAAGACCCCAATGAAAAGTAAAAAAACAATGGCTAGAGATTGGACATTTTTACACTTGGCTGGTTATGTTGGTATAATAGCATATTGCGTCATTAGTAAAAATGTCCAATGTCAAGCCTGTGTGACAAAAACTACTAAAAGTGATCATTACTATTTAGTAGTTTGTGCAATGAATACTAGAGTGTGTAGATAACATAGTGGTATTCTGTATGTTATGCAGTGCAGGACCAGGCCAGTAGCCAGGGGGGTTCAACAAGGGGACCCCCTCTAGCCAAACATTTCTTAAAGGTAATACAATTTTTCACACTTTTTAGCTTTACATGTGATTTTGGGCCAAATTTGTCAAAGTGATCCCCCCTGGAAATTTTCTGAAAAATGAACCCCCCTTGGCAAAAGCTGGTAATGGGCCTGAGGACACAAGTTGGGATATTCAGAATTTCTCAAATGGACAGAAAAAATCCCAAGATATATTGATATAGACAATATATGGTTAATTTAATGACTCATTTGAATTCCATTGACATATGATGATGAGTCGGATGTTGGTTGGAATTCCCAAGCAGCTTGAATGTGATATGAAGTATTGTAGAAAACATATATCACAATGTAGTTTTATATACCGTATTGTTTGAAAGATGGCAGCATTGAAGTTAAAGAAATGTGCACTAAGAATAACAAATGTGCACATAGGAATTAAAACTGTTGATACCTTTGTGGAAATATTGTAAATATTGCATGGTTTATAAAGGATTGGCATAGGAACAAATGCTATTTATTTTAGATTGTAATTTCCTGATTTTCCTCTCAAGATTTATGAAATGAAATTGTAAATGCAATCCATTCATTGACTCAAATACAGGGGGGGGGGTTAATGGATACAATGGTAAAATTGGATACATTGTTATAAGTGCTTAGATGATGGAGGGTGAAATTTGTTTTTATTTTTAATTGTAAAAAGATGTTGAAATTTTATTTCAAATCTCACTCCCAGCAAATTGGTTGTATATTAAAATGTGTTGATTGCTGAAGCAGTTGGGAGTCTCTGAGAGATATATTTGGATACAATCGTTATCTAATCCCTACCAGGAAGATATAGATACATGTATATTCTCAAAATATGTTCTGCACAAATGGACAATTTTTGTGAAGCTTGTCAAAGAAAACATTGAAAACTAGATCATGTAAATATATAATTTTATTGTATATAACTTATGCAAAAGCTTTAAGATAAAATATATACTACATGAATACAGATAACCTTTTATTAATGTTTGCATTCAACTAATTGAACAATTTTAGTTACATGCTACATGGTGTCCAAAAAGTCTAATAACCTCCAGTGGAAGTGCCAGTAGGTAGTTCCTAGTTCCACCACAAGGTGGCTAACTTGGGTCAGAAAACATTGCACATATGCAAAAGGTACCCCTAGAAGTGAATAATAAGTACATGTAGTGGACCAATTTTCATCTAACCTATTTATTGATTGTATTAATTATGCCGTTTAAAAGCTGTCCTATTAAAGAAACATGTCTGTTAAATACATTTCCACTAAATGATTTTATAACATGGGCTATATCAGTCTCTGGGAAGTTTACCTGAACTAGAAGTAAAATTAAAATTTCAAAGTTGATAAACAATTTAAAATACTACATTTTGTGTGAAAATCCAGATTATTTCTTCCTGTACAATTGTCCTATGTCAATTGAATTGTACATTTCTCTTACACAACCCATCACTAAGTGACGATACTTTTTGAACACCCTGTAGCAGCAGAGGAAATGTAGATACATTTGTGTATCACTCTGTACTGAGTGATAATTAGTCAAAGATATAAAATATGGAAAGTTACATGTCCAGTATAAAATATATGAATATTGAATACAATTAGTCATATACAAGTTTTGTATCATTCTATGGATATATTAATAAATGGCTCATCAAAGATAAGCAGTAACTCCGATCCAAAAATAACTTCGTTTATTTAGCTCATTCGGTGGACAGAACTAGATATTTACTGAGAGAAAATGTACTTAGTATACCCAATATCTCTTCGTTACTCCGAGAGAGTTATCTTGGAACATTGGAATACAAAATCAGGTATATTCAGTTACAAAATACAAGGTCAATGATCATTTTGCCGAAGACATTTAGAATGCCTTCGTCCATACCTAAAGAGGGAATGTCGAATATTTCCAGATTTATTGCTTATCTTTGTGACGAGCCCTTCGTGTGGATATGGCTACTAAGATTACAGGTATATTAAATGTACCTATGTCGCACGTATAATGTATATATACTTTCAAACTTTACTTATTCTTTGATGATAATACACATGTAAAATGTTTGTATGCTAAAGGAAAGCTAAATACATAGAAATGGAGTTGCGATTATAATATATAATTTTTACTATTTCTTTATATTTTGATATTTGTATTCAGTACCATGGCGTTCATCTCGTTATTGTATAGCATGAAGAGGCTAATAATATTCAATCAGACATATTTATCTCATCATGATCACACATCAAAATTCTTGCATTTCCAAATCCCCTCTGCTCACCCGTCACCCCAGAAACTTGGGTACAAGACTTGGTGCATTCCATTCTCTATTATTTCATCTTGCACCCAATATGGCTTTCATTTTCAATTGTATTTAATGGTAGAGGGTGAGGAGTGGACTTATTTGAGATTATTTTCATCTATTTTCCTATTTGCTTGTCTCCTTAGGAGTGCTTGCTGCTAGAAATAATCTGATAATGAAAATCGTGGAACAGTTGCCAAGTTTTGCAGTCAGCGTATTTTATAGTAATCTTATACAATAATGCCATACATCTTGATCCCCATTACATCTCATAGCAGAGTGGACAAGCGTGCTACTATACCATTGTGATTGGCACCACGACCGTTCTTCCCTGTCTTATGTAAGGGACACCTTCCATCGACTAACATCAAATTTGTTCAGGTGTATTTTTCAGATTCTGTACATGGTAATATTTACAACTTGATTTACTGATATACTTATGTCACTTCTTTGCGGTTTAAGCACCATTTACAGATGATGTGATTCAAACATGTAGGCGATAACCTGTCTCATTTATGTAACTTTTACACAAGTGGACCAAAAATAATTGTATTTTCAAAGTTCAACGCTTTTTATACACGACACGTGTTCAACGCTTTTATATACAATAGTTTATTGACGAAAAACGGTAATGGCTTCATGGTAGTGATCGCGAGGACTGACATCTTTGATATAGGCACGCCCGTGATAGGAGAGTTGTCAAAGTTACCCCTTCAGAAATTTCAACTCGTATACTGCGAGGTATCAACAATTTTATTTTGAATATGATTCGTCATTTTTGTACAGCCCTCGTAGAATATAACGTTCAACCAAAAAACGAACGCGTATTGCACCTTATATAACGAACACTTTTTGGATCTCACACCATCATATCATCTAGTAGTATATTATCTTTAGTCTACTTAGTATATATTACATATTATATAAATACATTTTATCTACAATCTTAAAAACCTGACATTGGATATTTGTCAAATTGTTATGCATAATCCTTAATGGAACTCCGATTATACATTCGATGTTGGTGAACTTTTCTATTTTAAACACACGTTGAACGTTTAAACATTGATAGATGAGCGGTTTGCAACGATTTTATGATTTGATCTAAACTTATCGTAACTTACATTTCACGTTCAATTAGATCTCTATCATAGGCATAAATCATGATTTGCAATTTTATGTAGGGTGATCCGAAAACTGATGTTTCGGGGCCAACATACAGAATGGGCTGAAAGTATCGTCCACAGAGCGTTATCAATTTATGATTATATATTTCTTAATTTCAAAACTATATTTGTATATATTATATATCTGTCTTGCTTTTCACTTCCGTTGGAATATTTGATTCCGAACAATTTTTATTTTAGGACATTGCACTTCTCTAGTGTATAATCATCTAGCACTGTGATTCAGATGGTTCATCTTCGCCATTTTCATTTACACCATTCTTTTCCTCTTTATCATCAATATCGGTATCGCCATTAACAGCGTGCGATTCATCATCGAGTTTTTGCTTGGTGTCAATCTCGATCGTATCGTGTGGACCATCAATTGCATTTTGGATTTCTGTCTTATCGTGGATTTCTGATTCTTGTTTGAGTTTTACAATTTCATTTTGATAAGCCGAAGCTTTCCCATAATCCTGCATGGCCCAACATACCCTTGCGAGTGCCTTCAGAGATGAGTCCAGATCTGCACAGTAACTTCCAGCGTACATATATCGCTTTAGCTCCAGAGATTCTGCATAGCATGCTAATGCATTATCGTTGTCTCCTAGGGTCTCGTATACGTTCCCCTTGCTATCCAGACATGATGTTATATCGGGATGTGCGCTCTTTTCTCCGTAGTATGATTTACTCATGTCTATGGACTGTTGGTAGTAGTCAAGGGCTGACTCGTTGACCCCTTGCATCATGTGAACAAACCCTAAACTGGACAAGGCGGAACTTACATCTGGATGTGGCTTTCCTTCATAAAGCTTCTTACAGACCTTATATGTCTCCTCAAAACAGGCCTTTGCTTTGTCAAAGTTGTGATTTCCCATGTGAAGGTCTCCAATATTGCTATTTACTGCAGCTACCTCTGGATTAGGTTCATCACCGTAGAGTTTTGTCTTCATGTCTAGGCTCTCCTGATACTTCTCAATGGCGCCTCCAGTGTCCCCAATCACCCTAAAGCAGTCTCCCAAACAATCTAAACAGCTCATGATATCATCGTCATGTTTTTGGGATGGATCCTGGCTATCAACCTGCACATACAACTTGTGTGCTAGTTGGTAATACAAGATGGCGTCTTTGGTCTCGTTAATACACACATGCAGGTAGCCAACATTTGATAAAGCCATGCAGAGCTCAGGGTTAGCTTTCTGGTGGTCGAGCAGATGCGCCGCTTCCTCTTTCAGATCTTCCCCGTATTGTTTGGCTAGTTGGTGTTTTTCCATGCTGAGGAGAACGCAGACCACTTGGCAGAGGGTGAGACAGTAAGAGGCCGGGCGACACTCTGACATACTGTGGACGTTCCTGATGATCGACAGCGACTGTTCGTAGCACTTCAGAGCGTTCTCGTAGAAGCTGAGGATGAAGTAAAGGTTGCCCAAGTTGTTCAACGTCAGTGAGATGTTCGGCTGTGCGGTGTCAACTCCGAAGAACTTCAGATCCGCCTCTAAGCTTTGCTCAAAGCATTCCATCGCTTTTTTGTGCATACCTTTTCCAATGTATGCTGCACCTAAGTTACCAAGCAGGTGAGCGAATTCTGCACTGGACCGATCATTCCCGTAGATTTTCTTGTAGATATCTCTTGCTTCTTCAAAGAACACAAGGGAGCGATCATAGTTGGAAATACTGAGGTAGGATCTACCCAGATTATGCAAGGTCTGGGCAAGTTCTGGACTTGCACTCTGTGTACCATATATCTGCCTTGTGAGGATCAGGGACTGCATGTAGTAAGCTATTGCCTTGGGGAAGTTGTTGAGATTCTGGTATGTCCATCCTAGATTGTTGAGGGATTCCACAATCTCTGGTCGTGCAGTATCATAGCCAAATACTCTCTTTCTGATCTTCAATGCTTTTTCCAGAAACGGGATACTTTCGATGTAGTATTCAAGCTTCCCATATATTCTAGCCAGATTGTCGAGATTCGAAGCAATATCCAGATTGCTGTTGAAAAAGAAGGCATCCTTGTACTTCCTACAGGCGTCCTCATAATACTCCATTGAACGTTGGAAGTTCCTGAGACTTTCATACGCCAGGCCTAGGTTGTTGAGTGATAGAGCATCCACCGATAAACAGGCTTCATTGGCATCTGGGAAATGACTCTTCATCTGTTGTATCATCTCCTGGGATTCCTCCAAGCACGTGATCGCCTGCTGGGCCTTCCTCAATCTGATAAACGCGTAACCAAGGTTACATAATGTTGAAGCAATCTGTAGATTCCCTAATGGTTTCCCAACTATTTTGTGTCTCAGCTCAAGAGCGTGTTCATAGTTGACCACAGCCTCTCTGTGCCTCCCTACCTGGTCATACGTCACAGCTGAGGAATGAAACAGGAAGTAGCGTTCAGCGTCCTCTTCTGTAGAGTTCCTAAGACCATTCTCAAGATGACCAATAGCCTTGTCATAATGGAACAATTTCCTGTTGGCCAGCCCCGCGCTATAGTGGGTGTCATCGTAGAAAATTCCATGTCTCAGCTGGGGGATTTCATTACTGACACGGCTGTAGGCTAACGTCGTGAGTAGCGGCTGCATGGTGAAGTAGAACCGCCTCAATATCTCCTGACGTTCCCCTAGCAACACTGACGCAATATCAATTTCCTCTGAACCCTGGTAGTCAACAACTTCCCGCTTTTCTTCATTGTGCACATATGTCCTCAGCCTCAAAAATAGCGAGATACTGGTGGCTAGCTTCAGGTTGTGAGCTCCTTCATCGTTCAGTAGCCTCTTTTGTAACATCTCATCTATGATGTCCCAGGGGTTCTTGGAAACCAACCTGTGGATGTGTTTCAGACTGTTCAAGATATTACTTGGTAAGGTGTAGATTTCTTTCTTCACCTCTAATAGATCACCCGTAGTTCTGAACGTTGAGGACTCCAGGTTCATGTTGTACTGATCGACCTCGTGATAGAGTAGTTTTTGTCCTCTTGCAACTGCTTCAGATGAAATATTTTTTCCTGACATCTGGGTGAAGAATTCTGCAAGGGTGGTTTCATATTCTCTGAACAGTGCCTCGTCACCTTCCAGCAGACTCACTGTACTCAAAGATTTGGCCGTCTCGAAGTTCTGTCTAAGATTATTCTGAGTCTGCAGGAATGCTAGCTCTCGGGGGGTTTTGATTAGTTCAAAGCTCCGCCTACCGGACGCCCCACGAATTCCGAGAGGATTTCTTCCCTCCCATGGCATGTTGCCACTGACTCGTAAACCATTTGGCGTGATCGTATCATAGAACCAGTCATTATCGTGCTGGTCGTACCGGTTCAAACTGGTTATACCCAGAACTGGTATAACAGTCTCTCCAAGGCTCATCATCTTCATGTTGAACAATCTAGCGAGGTTCCTGAAGAATTCCCGGTGTTCTTCAATATTACCGTCTTCTTCCAACAGGATCCCATACTCAAAGTCAGAGAACGGCGTCATTTCATTCCTAGCTATGTCACCACAACCAAGTATTGCATACCTACAAGGGGCGCTTCCAAGCGTTTTGAAACATTCAAAAATAAGCTGTCTGATAAAATGGGTCATATCTTTTGTAATCTGGCTATACAAACCTCGGATTTTCTCAGCAATTATGATCTCACGATGTCTTATACTTTCTAAATCGTTATCTACTTCAGAGTCCCATAGTTGTGTAATACTCCTGACTTCTACTTGGGCATGCTCTCGTATAAGCTGTAACATTTTCATATGGAAGCTACTAAAGTCAATGTCAAATTCCAACAGGTTTGAATCTCGTTGAGCAAATTGTGTAAGGAATATTGTCTCTAGGTTTTCTAATGCTGTTCGTATTTTATCCTCTTGGTATTCGTCTCCGTGTCGAACCAATGCAGCGTTATAGAGGGCAGCAGTGTTGATAAACGAATCTGGAGATTTTAACAAGCTGCCCCGTTCTAGATGTATATCTCCTATTCGTTGAAGTATCTTCGCCTGATAGTTTAAATCAGTGTCACCTTTACATAACATATCCTTCAACTGTTTCACACAGTTGGCCTCTTTATCTTCCAGTTCTTTGTATTGTTCCAACGACTTAGCATCAAGTTTAGACAGAACTGAATCCTCATACCGTTTGGTATTATTGTTCATTTCTTTTTGGCTACTTTCTGATAACTGATCAGTTAATATCACGCTTCTTTTAGTTTCAGCTTTAGAGGTAGGTGCATCGTTTTGTACTACGTCACTTTTTAGCGTTCCATCAACAATAGGAATGTCTGTTGTTTCTGGTAACTGATCTTGGTCAGTGTCATCTTGTTTATTATCATATGACACACTATAATAAGGTTGTTTTTTCACTTGTATAGATTCGGATACTGTGTCTTTTGCCTCGTCACTAAGATTGTTATTGTCTAGGTCACGGGCTAACTGTTCTATCTCTTCAACTGGATCATTAATGTTTTCATCTATTGTATCAGATACTTCATCACTATTCACAATATTGCTTGCATTAGTCTGGATGTCGTTGGTGGTTTCATCATTAACAGATGGAATATTGTTCACACTGGTACTAGTTTTTGTATTATTTGATTCTTCGGATATATCTTCAACAGTGTCTTGGAATTCATCATCACTTGAACTTGTTGCATCTGTTTCGGGGATTTTATTTTGAGTATTTTCATCAGCTGTGTTACTAGCACCATTTAATGTCCTTTCATCATCTGTTTTATGTATTTTAGTATCCATAGTCTCACTGGATTCCTTCGTTTTCTCTACAGATCGGGTTCCCGTCTTACTATTTAACTTATCATCAGTGTCAGTTATATCACTAGCTAGAGTTGTGTTTTCCACAATCTGAGATACTTCATAAACGACCTCACTAGTGACAGGCAGTGTTTCTTTATTCTCCTCTTCTACGTTAGATGAGAGTTCGGCACCAGAGTCATGTTGTGGCTGAGGTATCGACTCAGTGTCTGAACTCTCAGAAATGTTCATAATCGCCTCTGCGTTTCCTCCAGCAGTATCATTAACATTAACTTGTTGAGCTGATAAATCCATAATGATTTCCTCAACTTCACAAGCTGATTCCTTATTTGATTCGTTTATAACTTCTGCATCATTGTTAGAAGGATTTGATGATAGGTCATCTGAAGAGGTTGTGGCAAGATTTTGATCCGATTCAGGCAAGTTGTCAGCATTTTCATTTAAATTCACTGTCATTTCCTCACTTTCAACCATTGCACTGATATCTTCCTCATGATTTTGTTCGTCATCACTCACCATCGTGTCGTCTTCCTTATCGGCTTTAAGCTTTTCAATCATCGTCTTCATGATTAGTTTTCTTTCTTCCTCAGTCAATGTTGTATATCCATCTATTTCACTGCAGGCTATCTCAGTATTACGTGAATTGAGTATCCCCTGTATCGCATTTCTGCCTAGAGTGACTGCTTCATCGCCATCACCGGTGGTTTCATATTCACTGTCAGTTAAATTATGCATCTCAAGAGCGGCTGCAAAATATTCTTCCACTTTGCGAGTCATTTCAGGAGTTTTTGGCCCCTTTAGTCTCATACTCCCTCCATCACTGGAGCTATCGGATTCGTAGTTTAGAGGGCGTCTTGGAGGAAGCGATTTGTTTACAACCCTTATAGATCCACATTCACTGGAAGATATATCCCCTTCGTATTCTATCTTCCGTGATAATTCAGGTGTCTCTGGAACGTCAGACTCATCGATTGCGGTCTGAGGGTCGTCCATTGTCAATCTGCTTTGAATTTTGTCATCTACATCAACTGGGTCACTGTGTTGTATATCGTTAGCTATCGCCTCTTCAACTGAAACATACAATGTTTAAGCGTTATTAATTCATGGTATTCAATGCTCAATGGAGTCTCTTGTACTTTGTTACGTTGTTCTTTGAAAAGGATTAATAAAAAGAGCCTTGCCCAAATAATAACATAATGGCTTAATAATCGTTTTATTTCACTAGGTCGTTTTGCATGGTATAAGTTAAAAGCCAGAAACTCAAAGAAAAATATTTAAATACATGACAAAATCACAAATGAATTTTTATAATGAAATGCTTTTTGAAAGAGTGTAAGCATTTATTCTCCAGTATATAAAAGTGACTGCGTTTGCTTTATGTTTACCTCACCTATATTAACATGTTAAAGTCATTAAAGTTTATGTTTTCCTCAGTTTAACAGGTTTATAGCACTCACCGGCTAATGTTTTAGTATTGCTCTTTTTAATGTAGCACGAAAGCGGAAATCAGACCTTTGTAGTTTTATTGCAAAAGTATAGCTTGGTATAGTAAATGCCCTTTCTAATACTTTACTTTCCCTTTCAAAGGGAGCTTCATCTGATTGCCATTCTCTGGATCTCAGGGTTATGTACTTTAAATTACTGATTATGTATTGCAAATGTTAATGCAACTGATTTTTTATAAATCGTTTTAAATCGGTAGGTAAAGCGTCAAAAGATCCAGGTGAATATTATTTGTTGAGAAATATTTAAAATATTCAACATTGCCAACATTTGTGATAGAAATCTTCTCAGACATGTTTCTGGAATGATAAGTATCTTGTACAAGTAGCTACCTATACATTCATGGATACATGTGCTTGCACTACAGTAGCTAGATACTCCATATGTAATGATCATGAATACTGTATACTTCAATGGTATCGTACTATCATGATCATATGTAGTTTTGGCATTAAGCGGTGTGAACCAAGGGTGCCTGTTGAGTACGTATCTGTTTATTGTTTTGGCTGGTTGATTTCGTTAATGTTAATGGCAACGGGTCAAAAATTCACTCATTCAGATTTTGACATGTTACAAATGTAGATTTTATGCTTAGGCATTTGATATTACTGAATGGATAAAATCTGAAATGTAATCTACGGGTAGAACATAAAGCCTCTACGTCAATGATGTCATGAACGGCTTCTCGGGGGGCCTCTTTGATAATATAGGTTTGTACGCATGAGGTTGTAGGTTCTGATCCCTGGTTTAAAGCACAATACTCAATGTGAACGTTGTCTAAAAGCAAAGAATGCAGATTTTTCAATTCGTGTGGGTTGGAACTAGCTAGGTGACTTGCAAAATCATTTAAATTGAACGTACTGCATGAGTTTAATAAAAACCGATTCATAAATAATATGCTTTTTAAATAAAATTGTGTCTTATACATGTGCATTATCTAGCAGAGTAGCAAGCTAATCTGTTATAATTGTTTATAAAATCCTTGTGTTAGAGTAAAAGTATGTCTGATATGCAAAGAAACTTGGCAAATGGCCTCAAAATGTGATTTGCATGTACCTCTGTTTAGTAGTGTTATCTGTTACGTTATAAGTAACTTATATTTAACTTTACAAATATCAAAATACGCGTGTACCTTCAAAGAGATTATTTTTAACGTTTAGTCAAATACGTTATGATTGCATTAATTGTAATTGTGTGGTTTCGAAATATTTTCAAATAATAATACTCAAGATCAATATACCTTTGTTGTATATAACATTATGCTTATTGCAACTCAATGAACTCGGAAAACATATAAATGCAAATCCTTCTTTACTAAATCCCATGACTAATGTGAGAGGTAGATGTAAGGTTGTACTTTTGAAGGAAAACCATGTATCCGGTGGTCTTCAAGTGAATGCAGGTGTATACGGTATTACACTTCGACCTTGCTTTTTCAGAGTGTGAACATAATGATATCATAAGCTTTTCAAATGTCGATAAAATTAACTTATAAAAAGCACAAAAATAAAGATACAAAAAACGATTTAATGACAAACCTCAAAACAACCATTATGTTTCCCCTTAAAAGCCTATCTTTACATAAACATACCAGTCAGAGGTCACAAGTCTTGATATAGAAACCACTATTCCAAAGCCCAGTTGAAAGGTGTCCTTTTTGGCTTTTGGTTCTTTTGTGTTCACTATTATTTGAATTGACCACTTGACTACCGTGGGATTGAAAAGAACTCAGTACTAAAGCAAGCTCCCGTATGTACCACTCCCATGTCAAATCCTGAAGAGACTTAATTTTAATTTCTTCTTCCGATGTGTTCATTTTAAATCAGAATTAGAAATATTGACAGGGGGGATTTGGAGAAGTTTGAAAAGCGAGGTAACTTTGCTTATGCCTCTCTATCCTTGCTACAATAGTAGACTTGTTGATCATTGCATAATTTGGTACAATTTCTAAACTAACTAGGTCTGGCTAGTTGATAACATGAGAGTTTGAAGATCCCATTGTACATGGTGTACCAATAAATGCAACCCACGTACCTCACAATGTATATCTTTTAACCAATCTTTTAAGCAGATATTTTAATGGCAAAATTAAAATTGGTTCAATGTTTTTTTAATTGACAAAGATTCATTTCTGTAACAGGGTGTGTATGACCCATATGCTAGTTATACGGTGTTCTCCAAATGGCTACCACCTCTCTCTTTTCGATGCTCTGGAAATTTCAAAAACAATATTTTCTACTATACGATAGCATCTACGTACGATATTTTTCACACCTCATATACCATATTTTTCACAGTTCTTATCTTATAAAACATATTTTCATCTCTTACACCATGTAAAATAAGTTTTCACCGTATTAACACGATATCCCTATACACCTGTTCTCATTTAACAGTATTCGAAGTACATAATGTAATAAAGCAGAGTTCATGGCTAAAGAACGATACCAAAATATCAGCAACCTTTACCTCTTTCTCTAGAGTCTGCCATACCGGATCATTTGTTGACCCATTCACAGCATATCACAGTTTAGCATTCTGGAATAAGATACACAGGTATAAGATTCAAAAATAAGTATACAACAAAACAAATAACTCAGTGCATGAATTACAACAAAATATAATTTTACGGTAGTTGAGCTATTTGGCATGAGCTTTTTAAAGCCACCATAGGTCACGCTAAATGATCATGTTAACTGTTGGTGCAACTCATTTCCAAACATGTAACCATGTGTAATGAAACATTAAGCATAAGTGAGCCATCATATATACTCCTTTATTCCATAATAAAATGTTTTCCCTGGGAAAATAACATGGAATAAAAGTGTTATTTGAAAAATCCCGTATCAAATCCCGTATCAGCCAAAATCCCGTATCAGATCCCGTATTGGATCCCGTATCAGCAAAAATCCCGTATCAGATCCCGTAAAAAAGAAATTGAAAAAAAATATTATGAAATAAATAGGTTATTGATGGTCGTGATGGAATATGGATTTATTCCTTGAGAAAATATGATATTGGCCTCAGAAAATATCATATTGACACTCGGGCTATCGCCCTCGGTCAATATGATATTTTCCTTGGCCAATATCATATTTTCCCTCGGAATAAAATCCATATTCCATCCCTCCCATTAAATAACCTCTATTTCTCACTTGCTTGATACAGGGTGACCCAAAGAAGGCAACCAAAACAAATCTTGATAACAGTCATCCAGTATGGGATTTAGTCATATTTAGTACAAAATTGAATCTTGTTCAATGTTCCTTCATTGTGCTAATTTTCATTGTTCTATGATTTTTTGCTTTTATGCCCATTTTACAAAGCATGCTCAAAATACCAAAACATACCAAATACGAACCCCCAGAATTTTGCCTTTGGGACCAATTCATAGAAAATGTTGGTAACCCTAGAACATGTAGAAGCATCAGAGAGTTGAAGCAAGAGGTTAGAAGGGAAATAAGAGCCATTGCGCAAGATATATGTGGCCTTGTAGTCAGAAACTTCACCTTGTGCGTTCAAGTTTACCTCCAAAGACAAGACACGGCATTTTGAGCAAGTTTTGTAAAATGGCCAAAAATGGTTACCATTTACAATACACAAATGAAATGTGACTAAATGAAGGAACATTGAATATGGTTCAATTGTGCCAAATATGACTTCAAACCCATACTAGACATGCTGGATGACTGAGTTATTAAGATTTGTTTGGGCTACTTTTTGGCTCACTCTGTATTTCACAACTTCCTTTCCCGCGGTCTGTCGTGTGATTTCCCGGGATCACTTTAGAGGATTCCCCAAAAGTTACATCAAAATCACACGCTTAACTTCAAATTCCCCGAGGGCTATTTCAGATTTGTGAATTCAGGTTCAGCGAAGTACCCCGGGGATAATTTCAGTCCCCTTGTCCTCTTCGAGTACCCGATGATTGCAAAGTTCCAGCTTCAACTTCAAATTTACTGAGGTTAACTACCGTACAGATATTTCAGTTCCCTTGATCGTTATTAAAACTAACATATATTTTGATATTGTTGTTTGTTTGTATGCTTTGTGTTAGGTCTGTATGCATTTCGGATGATTGTGTTGAATGTTCATACCGATCCTTTCAACAAATATCTATAAGTGCATTCAAGTTTTTTCTTTACTTTGAACTTGTAAATGCACATGTAGACCTTTTTTATAGTTTTCGCAATATTGGGTTAAGTGTAAGCCTGTCTTTATATAAATAGGTTTCTCAGGCCCTACCCTAGCTTTCATCAATGAATATTTAGTAGAAGTTCTTCGGGGATACAATGTTTTTTGTTAAAGGGTCATACTGGTCTAGCAATGTAATTCAAAACATCATTTAACGAGATAAATACGGGTCATACTGGTTTCGCAATGGAATTCAAGACAGCATTTAACAAGATAAATAAAAGAATTTATTCAATTCAAGTGTTTGATTATATGAAAAGTAGAAACATGTTTTATAAAGTTACATACGACATTGGACACGCCATCGTCAAAAGTAACATTTTTAACTGAAACTAGAAAACTTAAGTTCACACAAATAAAAAAATGTATATATTGTCCCCCGCTGATTCTATCTTAAGACTGTTTCTGCTCTCTCACATCCCTGTAGTTATAAATCATTATGAATTACTTTTATTTGAACTTACTTGAAAGAAGTTATTTTAAAGATTTGTTAGTGTGTCAACATTAAATTGAGAGTCAATGGAGGGAAGAGCACCCTGTAAATTATGTATCACTTTCTATTTACTTTTATTCCGGTGCAGGTTAAGGACACTGATACTTTCAATCTTGGGTCATACACAGAAAATTCGTAGATCACATGTCGTAACCAAATATATAATGACTTTGTGATTGTACAACTTGAGAATTCAGTCTTAACTTTCCGAAGTTTCTTGTCACAACTTTTAGAAATCGTAACATTAAAAGTAAGACATAAGTATAAGCATGGGCTTTCAAGAGTTGAAAGCCCATGGTATAAGTAATGCAGAGAATAATGTTTGTTCAAACTTATGTGATATATGATAACTTCATATAAAAGTTATATAATTGTAGGATTAAGATAAAACATTGTGTCACGAATCGTATGGAAACCTCGAACCACAGATCTAGATATATCATTAAGATACAGTTTTACATTCAAGATTGATACATTGATTTAATAAATTGCCATAAAGAAAAATGCTCTGATAACGTTTCAAACTCTTTTTTGGAGTCTCGCTAACATTCAATATTTGATATCAATTCATTAATTACAGCATTAATTACAACACACCTCTGTCATAATTTATCATCAACTCACGTTGGAAACTGGCCAAAGATTAAGAAAGTAAAAATAGTTAGCATCGTTATGTCAGTAACTTATGTGATTGTACTTTCATACAAAGCTTGGGAAGGTGTGTCTGATTCCAGCCAATCCAAACACAGTATTCCACATTACTACAGTGCATTATATCACAAATTACTGCATCAATGGTCGCTTGTTAAACAGTTGCCTTGTTCAGATTGAAATTGATACCTTGCTAAATTGACCAACTCTAAATAAAAACTATGCTCTCAAAGTATTTCAGACCAAAAATACTATCTACTTTATAGCTGAAAAAACAATAAAGAATACCAGTGTACCATTGAAGGAATACCAGTCTATAACCGAACTAATGCCAGTCTACGACTGATAGAATACCAGTGTACGATAGAAATAATGCGGATGTACGAGTGAAGATATACCATTGTATGACTGAAAAAATGCTAGTGTATGACTCAAAGAATGCCAATGAATGAAAAGAATAGCAGTGTACGACTGAAAGAATACACTGAAATGATAGTTTAAAATAAGACAGAGCTAATCGACTAGCTATACTATTTCAACAGCTCTTTAAATCCCTGGATCTACCTACGCCCCTTTTCTCATGTATGAATGCTGAAACTCTCGAATATGTTGAAATGAAAGCACCTACATTAACCTATTAAAAAGGTTGTGGACCAATGTATGTTGATATATGCGTTATCAATTTTAAATCAAAAATAAACATGGCAACTGAGTCATAAATCAAACCACTCTTTAAACATCATAACCTCTGAATTGAGATTGTAAAAAATCGAATCACTGATAGGAATCTAAATATTGAGTATACTGCATAAAAACAAGTGGGGACATTCCTAAAATGCCTTGACAAAGACTTGATCGACCACTGACCCTTCTCGTTCGCCACCACAAAAGATATTCCAAAGTTTAGAAAGACGTCGTCATACAATGCGTGCATCCTATGTAAACCTCATAAAAGCTCATAAAAGAACAGTAGAAAAAAACAAGGATTGAGAAAAACTCTTTTAAACTGCATTTTGCAAGGGTATGCCTAAAGGTTTAATTGGTTGGGATATTGACTTTTAAAATGTTTTCTGTTTTTAAAACTTAGGATAGGTTTGGCTGGCATCAGCAACTGGTATCAGTGCATCATATCTCCTTATTCATGATATGCATGCAGGAAAAGCGAATTGATACTAAATTCTACTTCAATTCTACTTCAGTGACGATGTCATTAAAATTGCAAATTGACCACTCGTGAACAAACGTCCGAATCACAGAACAGATGTGTTTGGCATGATGTAGCAAATCAATCATAAATTCTGCATAGATTTTACCATAGTGATACAGTTTGAATAAAATCCATAAAATACCCATATGATGCCACGGTATGCACATTATTGACGCTGTGCGGGCCCCTTTTTGAGACGACCCCATCATAGATGTATCATAAATAACCATATATGGTCATTTGATCATTGACCATGAACCCCTGGAACTGTGCCGTCGAATGTAATAATATTATGCAGGAAATGCAAACTGATACACAAAACTCAGCGAACGTGTCATTACAATTGCAAATGTGGTCTATGTTGCATATACAAAAGGGATTAACACACTAATCCAAACATTAATAATCAGGGCATTCAAGAATTGAAGACTTATTGGTTCTGTTGAGCCCACATAAACTTACTATTTCAAAGCCCTATGGGATTAACATAGATTAGAGGAGAACAGGATAAACTGCAAGTCTCAAGGTCTAAACACCCTGGTTCTACCCTTTCTAATGATTTTACTGCTTCTTGCAAAAATAGCATCACCCCGTGCACAAAGACTCTGATCCTCAGCGAAGACTTGTGTAGTATTCATGATATTTTCCCCGTTGGCGTTTACATTATTTCATTTTACTCAAGGCTTGGAGTTTGCCTCCCTCTCCACCACCAGTGACCACAGAAAATTTTTACTGTTCTATTTCATGAGAATTTAATGTGCCATCGCCATTTATGTACCTGCAATAATGGGGACACTGCCTAAAGGCTTCATGTAAAGGTAAAATCATTGTAGCTTATATTGAAGTCTCGTCCAATGTTATCAAAATGTGATACATGGAAGTTTTTAATGTCAAAAAGTTCTTTCTGAGTGACTTTTGTACGAATTTGTAAATTTATTCAAAATCAAATGTTAGTCGTCACAATTTTGGATTAATAAGCACCACTTAACACCAATGTCCTTCAAAAAGTTTATGCAGTCTTAGGTATTATTTAGACTATGAAGTGGGCCGGTTGGGTGTTCTTGAATCCCTTCTGATATAGTTATATTTGTTAATTCTTTCAACTTAGATTGATAGGCGCAGAAACGGACGTGTAGATGGGGTGGTCCGTTGAGGGCGGATATGAGAGGGGAGGGTGCAATTGGCTGGTGATGAGGGGGCAACGGTAAAGTCGCTGAGAGTAGGGGCTTGGGCGGATCAAGTAGACAATTTAGTATTTGTTCTGGCCTAGATGGAATGTTTCCCGAGACCCTTAGTTAACAGTTGATCGTATCAAATATTTGTTTGCTTGTTTGTTTGTTTGTTTGCTTGTTTGTTTGTTTATTACTATATATTTGGCTGATTTGTGATTGTTTCAGTTGTATTTGTTTATTGCAATTAAAAACATTGCAAATGTACAATGTAGATGTGGGACATCTTTTACCTGAACTTACTGACATTGTTTAATTGTAGCACTATCAATTCATGTAACACTAACAATTCATTTAACACTAGCAAATCATGTTACACTATTGCTATTATATGCTTGAATTGCAGAAATGTATATCAAGTTTATATTGTTTCAACATATATAGTGTATATATAATAGTACGTATAAGTAAGTAAGTAAGTTTAGTCTTACCGGATGTTCCCTTGAATAGATAAGTTAGTACATTTCCTTATTTTCAGCGTTAATCCAGTAAACTAGGTTAGCTTATCCATTGTTCAGACATAGCATCTTTTATTCATCCATATCCGAGATGTCTCTGTCACAACTAACACGAAAAGTTAAGTTCAATCTGCATTTCGAACATATTTAATCCCAGATTGGTTGAAAACTCGGTTTTAACATTCCCAATACATGTACACATTCAACTTCCATATTTAAACATGGACTTAAAAGTTTCGTGACGTTTCGGTAAGCCCCGAGCAAAGGTTTAAGTTGAAACATACAGAGCGTCTCACTATAATTGTTTTATTTTTATAACAGCTATATCGGTATTGTGCTAAAATAGCCAAGTAAATTCAAAAGCAAAATGTACTTTGTTTATGGAAAGTTAAGGCCCATGGGGCAAAACTATATTCTAGTTGTTAGGTTTTGAAAAGTAGGCCTGTGTTATACTTTACCTTTTATAGACTTTGGTGACAGACTTGCGTTTCAAATACCATTGATATCTCTATATAGCATTTGGCTTAAAAGAACTTCGTTATCAAAGTGTATTGATTAGTATTAGGGTTTTATGGTAACTTTTCAAAAGACTCTAATTCACAATGAATATCTCAATAGCTCCAACTTCATTTACCAAGGCGTATTACAACTTAAAGGTGCAACAGTACAATTAGTGCAGAGGGGCCATCCAACGATCATGGACCAGTGTCAAAGGATATTTCATGAAGACTAACATATATTTTTATTATTTCCCAAAGAAACCCTCTGGATGGATATTATTTCAGCTGATATTCCTCTTGAAACGTGGGGGATCTTAAAAATCTATAAGGGTGACTCCCTTTACAGAAGCTTTAAAAGAATTATTTACACTTCTTAACGCTGAAATTGATAGTTTATCCATGGATACATTTTAAGAAAATAGGTATATCAAAAAAGATGTAAAGCCAAATGTTGTCCTGCTAGCTCAGAAAAAGTAAAAATGTTCTAATTTTCTCTCTACAGGCCTTGTTGCCCCTTTAATTGGAAGTCGAAGATGGTGACCTCTACTATCAAAATATAACATATGCCATATAGTTAACCATGGCAAGATCTTCTTTTTCAGGTCGTGGGATAATCATTCCTATTCTATTGGGGAATGATAGACCACAATGGATCCATGCATTTTCACATAAGCTTTGTGGGGTGTTGTGAGACTAACTTGTATACACCACATGTCAGACGGTCAAATTATCTGTTTTTTTAACAATGATTTTCAAATACATTCATTACAACATGATCTTTGCCTAAATAGTAAAGAAAATGTAATTTAAAAGTATCCCTGGAGTCAAAGCGAGACATCATCTTGTGATCTTTTTTTTTTAAAACTCCACCACTCGTTTAAAATATCTGAAATCTAAAAAAGGAATTTGAAACCAAAAAGGTTGCTCCGATAAAATTTCGTGTTTCTGGATACACCACTGGCAGTTTTGCTGAACCACCCTGTCACCTAAAATTAAATGTAACCAAATATAAATCTGAATCTATGTATCATGCGTTTTGTAAAATCAAAGTCAAACACGGCTGCACGGGGAAGGTAAAATTAAGGCGATTTTCTACCATCATTTCCCCATCATTAACCATCTCACGCCGTTATAAACCCGATATCAAGCAACTAACCACTGTATTGGAGTTATAGGGTTACTGAGGCGTGTGTTCACGCAGTGGAGTCACTGTTATTACCCGGCTTTCAGGACTACTCAATCGAAAAGCATCTTTTTTCAAAAGATAACTCATGTTGCAAATGCATATCATACATTTTGGCCTGAGTTAATGTGTGTTATTTTTTATTGCATGCAAGGATACGATGGCCCACGGTACTTTGAGTAGTTTCCACTTCAAATGAAGTATAAAGTATAATCATTGCACGATGGATCATCGTACCAGTGGGCCACTGTCACTTTGGCAAAGTAAAAAATAGGATGGCTTTAATTTAATTCAAGGTTACATTAACACAATTCTATGGTGTAGGACTACTAATATTTTGTTCACTCTGGAGGTATTTATGGGTCAATCGTGGCACAATAGTATCCATTTCTATCACTAATATTTTGTTCACTCTGAATGTATTTATGGGTCAATCGTGGCACAATAGTATCCATTTCTATCACTAATATTTTGTTCACTCTGAATGTATTTATGGGTCAATCGTGGCACAATAGTATCCATTTCTATCACTAATATTTTGTTCACTCTGAATGTATTTATGGGTCAATCGTGGCACAATAGTATCCATTTCTATCACTAATATTTTGTTCACTCTGGAGGTATTTATGGGTCAATCGTGGCACAATAGTATCCATTTCTATCACTAATATTTTGTTCACTCTGGAGGTATTTATGGGTCAATCGTGGCACAATAGTATCCATTTCTATCACTGTTAGAAATTGACTAAAATTCCTTTGAAAACTTTTGATCAACTATTATTATGAATTTAACAGAAGGTCAATTATTGTCAAGTATACCAGTGAAATGTAATTAACCACTGGAGAAATAGACAAAATTACTATCCACTGATGTCTTTCCGTATAGAGCCATTGTCGTGATTTACTCTAGCACGCCAGGTCAGCCAAAGAACAACTACCCTTACAAAAAGGCTGTATAGGTTTTCATCACGGTGGCCCTAATTAAGTGTATACTAAGGCAAAAATAGCTGTAGTTTGGTCAACAATCAATTTTGGAGTGTGATACGATTAAACAATTATTGAAGACATGTATATTATGTATCTTTGCATCGACTTTATAAAGCACAATGGGGGTAACCAGCAGCGTACCCTGCGTGGAGAGTCTAGTTAAACTACTGACAACGAAGCTCTCTTTTAAGAAGTGAAGTCAAACGAATGCAAAGGGTACCAGCAGCGCGATGACTGCGAAGTATCATTCACACAATTCATTCATACAATTTTTAAAATGGAGAAAATAGTAAGTCTTACTATTTTACTATCTATTGCTTGTTCAATGAAGAAATGGAACGTAATTTCTGATTGGTCCCTCAGACTTATATTAGTGTGTTAATAGTACATGTACGTATTTACTTGATTACATCTAGGATGAAGAAGAAGAGATTTTTCAACCTACATGTAGGTTACATACATGCCACTTTAAAAATTACTACCCCCACTTCAGTTTATACGAAACGTAACTAAAGAATTAGAAAGCACGAGTCACGCATTCGTCAATTTCCATGCAAAGGAAATTTAAATCATCGTTACATTTCCTTCACTGTGTAAAATCTAGGATGAAGAAAATATCACTAAGATAAAATGCAACCATGAAATGCCCAATATTTAAATTTTATGAGTTAATTTGCCTATGACAACTACGCCATCTTTTTAATATAGAAAAAGAAATTAGGTAAGGTATGCGAAATCTGACTACTCTTATATGATCCAAACATATCGCGACTTCGCAATATAAACTGAGATGGTATAACAAAATCCAGCAGGTATATGAAAGAATGTCCTTTAAAAAGCATGCCTTATAATCCCAATGGTTTTTATAATCTAAAAGGAAATTGATATATCTGATTAAATATGGAAGAAATTGACGATCTAAAATAAAGAAATGTCCAAATCTATTGATCTATTGATTGAGAAGGGGACAGGTACTTTTTCAAACTTAACGCCAGATGTACTTTGTTAAAAATAAGCATGGGATAGGATGTTGTGAGCAAACGATTTGTTAAATTGTGACAAGTTTTCTAAGTGTAATTACTCTTAATGTATCTCTGTGTAGTTTTTGTTATCCCTTTATAAGGTTACAAATAATATTTTTTCATTAATGCTTTTAAATAAACAGGTTGCAATTCATAATATGATGCTAACGGGACTGACATCATATAGTAATTTAATATAATAATAATATAATAGTTGATTTATAATATTTCAAATGAAAAACTTTTCACGTTTAAATAATTTTGAGGGGGTTAAGTTCCGTTTGACATTAATATTTATATCATTTGACGTTTTATTGTACACGATCTGAATATTTAATTCAATTGGTCCTTCACCAAAAAATAATTCAAATAATGAGAATAACGATGACCATACTCAAAGTGTCGTATGCATTTTAAATGGAAACAATTGTACATTTCTTAATCTGAGCCTGTTCTGATTCCTGTAATTGATTCATCATTAATGGAGTTATGATAACTGTTACGTAGTGATGTATACCCAGCATCAGTACCGTCTAGGAGTAGTGCATCATATATTTTGTTATCACGGGGTCGTGTAACACGGACGGAAAGTACAGCTAGATATAAAACGACCAAGAATACTAACTCCTTGAATGATCAATATCGAGATGATGAACCTGCAGGAGGAGGTAAGAATGGGTTTGATTTTTTAATCATACAGTACTTACATATCATCCTTCTTCAAAGGACTTCATTTATGCTTAAATTCATACTTGTAAAATACCCTTGCAGCAAGGATGCTATACATATATATGTGAATATGTGTATCTGACACGGAACCCTGAGAAAACTTGGTATCTAAACCGTATCAAATCTGAGTGACTGTTTAACATCTGCAATTTATGACGTTGTGATTATATTGCGCTATGCACCCGACCGATCTTTTTTATTTTTCGCTAGTTAATGTTTCACTTTATATTAAGCTTTCGTGTCTCCACTGACCATTCGGAAGTCACATTGAATTCGTTTGACCTTAAGAGGTCCCATTGAACTCGTTTGGCATTAAATCGTTTGACCTTTGGTTCACGATGAACTTGTTTTACCTTGGAGGTCACATTAAACTCGTTTGACCTTTGGGTCACATTGAACTCGATCGTTTGACCTTTGAAGGTCCTGTTGTACTCGTTAGACCTTTGGATCACGTTGGACTCGTCTGACCTTCGAAATGTTTTCACTTTCAGAAGCCGTCATTCTGGCTGTCTGGTAATAAATCCAGGCATCATTTATGCCTATAGTCGGACTGGATTTCTGTTTATCTAGGTCTAGTCAATATGATTAGATGGGAGAAGTCTCGCAATCAAGGGAACATGAGTTTCTAATTAGTTATAGCACAATTAGAATGTTTTTTTCTGGACCTGTTCTAAATAAGCGAAACCTTCAGCTGCTCAGCTCCTTAATACAGAAACAAAATAGAAGAAAATGTTCACGTAATGATGTTTTTCTACTGGTGTACATGTGTACAGATGTTATCCATGCGTATTAGCCAATGCTCATTTCGAAAAGGAAACGAATTGTTCTGAAAGCGATTGCAAAGTAACTCTATTGCTTAAACAGTTTCTGATCAATATCATCACTAAATTAAAAATACGCCAGGACTTAGTTTTAAGACTAACAGTAAGTCGTCCGTGAATGTCGATTGAGCAAAAGGACCCCGATCAACCTATCACGAAATATGACAAGCTGAATATTTTCATCTCTCCGTTTAAGACTTGAAGGAACGGCGAACACATGCTAGCCTCAGTGATGTCTAGACTTGGAATTAACGACACGCTTATTTTAGCGTTCAAGAACATTCAGCGTACAAGCGTATCTGTAGGATTCGTCTGTGATGTACGTATAATATGTGGTATACGTTAGCTTTATGTGATGTACGTATAACGTAATATATCTGATTTACATTTATGTGTGAACGTTTTCTATAGCTGCAATGCTCGTATCACTGTTAACGATGAACTTAAAACTTTAAGTGGGGAAGATATAAACGCTCATGATGAACGCGTTACTTTAGGTTATATCGTTACATCAAGGAGAGATCAAGGGGAGGGGAGCTTAAAAGTGAGATGTTTATTTCAGCTTACATGCCGTGCGGTCAGTTTTGTCATAAAATTGATACTTAATACACAGCGCGTTGGGAAGAAATCTTACACCAAAGTAGTTATTATTGTGCGAGAATAACCCCAATGTTTTCATAACATTTTTCATTTCCTTAAAGTAGGCCTATGCAATATTGAGTAAGAGTATTGAGAAGCTAGCGTTGTTGGTTTCTAGATATACCCCTACTGAAGAAAGATATGTTAGAGTCTAGTGTTTAATGAAGAGCACACCTGGTAAGTGAGCATTAGAAACATGATTTATTGAAACTACCTTATCACTTGCATTTTCTTAACATTTTTCCTTGTATGTGTCATAGATGAAAGTTACGGGAGATATTTTGGAAGATATTATCTGCGAATAAGCTTTACGGAGATGTGAAGACGTTGGGTTCTCTGAATGCTAGAAGTTTATGAAAGTTCTGTTGCATAACCTTTAGATATATGAGTGAGGTTTACTATGATGTGCTCGAAAATATCCGAAAATATCGAAGTTCAACGCATGAACATTTGGAATATACCGATATAACAACATATTTACAATACTGTAAGCAAACGACCTTCAAAACAAAGTCAAACATTATATTGCAAACATAGTATAGCTTACAGCAAGATTTGAAATTAAATTGCAATTTCGGATTATAATTTTAAGCAGAAACTCTGGTGATGTATTAAATGGATATGATATCGTTTTGATATCAACAATAATGAAAGAATACATGCGACGAAAATACAATATTAGGGCATACACGTGATTCTATTTTACGTTTCAACTATTGAACTGCAAATTAACAAAATTAAAGAACTCTATAAATTACAAGAAGAGGATCTGAGAATTGTGTTTGTTGACCGGGAGGTAAACTGTATCAACTATATGCATGGTATTGTCAACAGCAGCTAGCTCGGACATGCGGCATAGGAACAACGCCATCATGTTCCCTCCAGACAGTTTCAAACCCATGACAGGAGTCTACCGAATGCACATAAATGAAACGGTAGTTAATTTTCAGATTGGATTAGAATGAGTCGAGTTCTTTTTTTGTTACTGACTTACATCAATGTTATCCCTCAAGTGCGTGTGCTTATAGTTAACTTGGAGAATAGGAAGTGCTACTATACGTTACTTTGTACTACACTTTAGCTGTGTCTTTGGACAATCGACCTGTGTATTATTACAGATTAGCTGTGTCATTGGACAGTCGACCTATGTATTATTACAGATTAACTGTGTCATTGGACAGTTGACCTATGTATTATTACAGATTAGCTGTGTCATTGGACAGTCGACCTATGTATTATTACAGATTAGCTGTGTCATTGGACAGTCGACCTATGTATTATAACAGATTAGCTGTGTCATTGGACAGTTGACCTATGTATTATTACAGTTTAGCTGTGTCATTGGACAGTCGACCTATGTATTATAACAGATTAGCTGTGTCATTGGACAGTTGACCTATGTATTATTACAGTTTAGCTGTGTCTTTGGACAGTCGACCTATGTATTATTACAGATTAGCTGTGTCGTTGGACAGTCGACCTATGTATTATTACAGATTGGCTGGGTCATTGGACAGTTCACCTTTGTATTACTAAAGTTTAGCTGTGTCTTTGGACAGTCGACCGATGTATTGACTTAATCTTGCCTAATTTTGGCAATTTTGACAGGATGAATAGATGTGTTGTTTGTTTGCAAGGCGAAAGTTGCCATAGCAAATATTATTGACTCTATTGACTTACGTTTTCAGTTTCTACAGCCAGAAATGGATACACCGAACGAGAACTGCGTCTATTCACGGAAATTATTTTTCCCATTTAAATCAGTGGTGACCACTGCAATTGGCAAATTCGGGGTCCTCGCCAAATTAAACCGGTTGCCAAATAAGTAGAAGTACACTATTATACATCATTATGTTGTTTACATGTGCTGCAGTTTGCATTTGCTTGAAGTTTGGAACCTCAAAATAAGAATACGTTTTCCAATTCAGAATAAATAAATGTATCTCACTAATGATAGATGCTATTACTTTACAGTACTAACCAGTGGAATGCTTTATTGACGTTGTATTAAATGTACTTGTTTTATATTGAGTTTTATTTTTTCATATTAGAAAGTACATTCATTGTATCACGTGTAAATGTCATATTATAACCTTGATATCATTATAGCCATATTGTAAATGTGTATGATTTCTATCTTGCAGAAAAAGGTAGTAGAGGTATGTGTGAAGATTGTGAAGATAGGAGAGATCGACACTCTCCATGAGCAGTACACGGCAGAGGTCCTCGTCAAGGCAAAGTGGAGAGAGCCTGCCCTTGACTTTGTGCAGGTGAGGTATCTTTAGATAACACGTTAATCACTTGTTTATTCAATCAATCAACATATGAATCAAAATATCAATTACTAGTAATCAAACTGATTCAGTGCATTGGGTCAAAAAGCTCAACTGGATGAAAAAACAGCTCAAACAAACAATTGTCAAAATTAAGAACCCGGTGTAAAAGAAATTATGGTCCCCTGTGATTATGGTCCCCTTTCTTAAAGGCCCTTACTGGCCCTGATTGTGGATACGATAATAAGTGAAAGAGTTTAAACCAATGGAAAGTAGGACCATAATTTGATAGGACCTCCTACCCTTTTACACCGGTCTTGAAATCGAAGTAGGTAATCAACCATATGGAATAAGAGCAACAAAGATATTATCAGCAGTTTATTCTTTAGTCATTCATCGTTATACCTACAGTACATACCTTTCTCTCTTAAGGCCCCGATGGTATTTTGAAAAGGCAGCAAGGAGTAAAAACTGGAAAGGGGTGGTATTCCTTTCAATGCAGTGTACTATATTTTGAACATTAATCTAAATATTTCCTAAAAAGAAACAATTTATTTGAATGTGACACGCTTCATTAAAGGCGCCTATTTTGAGACCAATTCGACGTAACGATCGCCGACTAGTGTGTATCTATCATTATCTTGGGAGTTATAACAGACTCAACTTAGCTTAAAATATCCCTGTTAAATCGGCTCTCGTCAAGTGTTCAAATAGCTTATGCTCCTGTAGGTCCAATATTTCTGATTTATTTTATGTTTATGATCGCACAGATTTCACAATTCCCACCTTCAAATGCTTTTTAGTACACTTTAATACTCGTCCGTTGTACTTACGACACTCATCATTTTCCCAAGTATATGTACTTTGATTTTTACAATAATGCAATCATTTATTTATAAGAATGGTTACCATTCTTATTATTTGGGAGAATTTAAATATTTTTCCCAAATTTTTGCACTTTGAATCTTAAATAACTCCACCAACTGAAAACATACCACGGATCTTTTGAGAGATATTATATTTGAGCCTGTAAGAAATACATTAGTACATCAATTGTACATATTGCTTGCAATTTTGTCACTCCCTATAGATTTGTTTCTGCCTTTCACGAGATAATTTCCGAATTTTATTGACTCTTATTCCCCTATACTATATCTAGTATATATATATATACCTCTTGGTTGCACACGAGTTGAAACGATAATCCATCAAGGAGTGTGTTGATAAGTCAACTAACAAGTTAAGTCAATTTAATGAAACCGACAGAAAGCAGTTTTCTTGATTGGCAAATACCAGCTTAAATTAAAAATGAATACAATGTCTGGTTTGCTATGCATCGAGAGAAACTTCATTTTTCTCCGATATATATTTTGACAGATCATCCAGCTGAAATTGAGTAATTCTTAACGACAAAATTGGAATATATTATCAAATCATCAAATCAAATCATAGGAGTCTGATCAAATTATTGTGAAAAAGCATGTCACTCCAGCGTGACATCTTTGTCAACAGTGAAATTGTAGAATGTGTTCACTGGTTTGAAAGGGCGATATAAGTCGTCTGAAAGCTAACCCCTACTAACCATATTTTCCCTTAATGAATGTCTTGCACATTCGTAAGGAAATAGTTGTGATTTCTAAAGAGTTAGACTGGAAAAATAAAATGCACGTACTGTAATGTAACAAAATACAATGAAAAACAATTAATTCACAATGTAACACAACAAAATACAATATCAGGGTCTTGAAGCAATACTAAATGTAATATGATGCAATACATTTTATAACAATCCAATATAATACACTTCAATACAATACAATACAATATAATACAAAACAATACAATACAATACATTTACAATACCATTCAATACAATACAATATAATACAATGCAATACAATACCATTCAATACAATACAATATAATAAAAAACAATACAATACAGTACAATACAATACAATACCATTCAATACAATACAATATAATACAATACAATACAATACAATACAAAACAATAAAATACAATACAATACAATACAATACCATGCAATATAATTACAGTAGTTCCATGGGGAATATGAGTCGTCAAATTCATAGAGAGGAATAAAAAATCAAACGTGTATTTTGTCATTTGCAGGATGCCAAGGGTGTTGATTTGGGGAACTACTGGCACCCAAAGCTGTATATAGCAAACACAATAGGGACACCTAGTGTTGCAGAGACTAACACTTTTACCATAGACAAAAACCATGAGGCATACATGCGTCTTGAGAGACGCACAAGAGGCATGTTTATGGAAACACTAGAATTGAGGGAGTTCCCATTTGACATACAGGTAGCATTTTTACCCTAGTCTCCTCTCACCCCAACCATTTGGCCGAATTTCCCACGTAAAATGCACTGAAACTTTGATTGTATTATAACGTGCATAACCTCGGGCCGTGAACGCTGAAATTTCATGAATTCTACAACATTGACACATAAACCTAGTGTAATATCACGAATTAAATTCTTAACAATGTCACATCGTCACTATCTTTTTTAAAAATTGTTCATTGAAACGTGTATGGTGAACCTTTTTTGAACATGCCTCAAATCTCCAATCCAGGATCTAGCCGTTACTGTTGTATCAGACCGTATAGAGGAAGTCCAGATCATCCAAGACAGGGACGAGTACTCCAGTGTCTATAGGTCGGACTTCGCCGATGCCCAGGAGTGGTACCTCTACAGTAACGTGGACGTGGAAGAGACGATCGCCCCATATGGTCACCGAACACGTTCCGCCCTAGTTGTCAAAATGAAAGCTGCAAGACGGCCAAAGTACTTCATATGGAATAATTTCTTTGTGACGGTAAGTGGTATGAACCATGGCCATTTTCTCCCATTTTAGCATGATTAAGTACAAAGAGTAACATTCTGATATCATTTAACGTGTAGATAATTTACAACCTGCACTGGATGTTCTTAAATGAATGTTTTCGGTCTCAACAGACCTTGCGAAATCTTGATTGGAAGAGAAAAACCACTCACGAAATCATAGTCTCAAATTTCGTTTCCCTTAAAGTTTGGATAATCTAAAGTAAATTTTCGAAACAGTAAAATCAAACAATCACTAAAATTATCAATAAGATCTTATAGGTGGTTGGCTGAGACAACATCTATTTCATGTTTCTAGTTCGTTATCACTGCGCTGTCGTTCTCCACGTTTGCTGTTATACCAAAGTTGGTACAAAATCGTCTCCAGCTGTCGTTCACCCTCCTCCTAACGTGTGTCGCCTACAAGTTTGCAGTGAGCCAGAACTTGCCCAAAATACCATACCTTACGTACCTAGTAAGTTATTTTAGAACGCTACCGATTTCTGGAATGATGATGTCATAGATTAGGGTGTATCGAAGACATAATTTGGCAAAGTAACAAATTAAGAGACTACAAACAAAAACAAATAACAGTACTCATGTTTATTTTTCAGGATCGTTACGTGTTATTTGGAATCACAACATTAGCGTTAATCTGTGTGTGGCATGCTCTAGTGACTCTCTTTCTGGAGCACCCAAAGGTGGCTCTCATGGACATGATCGTACTTATAACACTAGCTTCCATATTTGTCCTATTTAATGTTACGTTCGCAATATATATCTATGCGGTAAGTTAACGATCATCAGCAACATAGTCTATGATACACTCCCCTCAACAAGTTTTCAGTTGAAAGCCTATTAAAGCATGGCAATGATCGATTGGATCTCAATGGTGTTCTTTTCATAGTACAATAGTTCGTGACTTTGATGATTTTATTACATTAATCGGCATTAAGACCCAAAGATGGAGTGCCGGTTTCCAAACTTTTTTTGGAGGGGAGTGTAACAATATGTATATTTAGTAGGGTATATTGTATCATAGTATAATTTAATCTAACAACCCATGGTTGTTCGTCTATATTCAACAGATACAATTTCGAACATCTTAGCTAGAAATACTGTTATTACCATACAGAATAAATTAGAATACGAATTGTCGATTGAAGAATTAATTAAGATTTATTTTCCAGACATTTAAGAGAAGGCAAAGAAGTGCTGCACCTCAAAAGGTAAGCATACATCTTAATAGCGGGGTCAGATGTCCTTTTTTTGTTCGGCTTTTTCAGGAAAGCAACAAACTTGGCACAGTTGTAGAATCATATGATATGAGTAAAAAATGATTTCAGGGCAAGTGATTTGGGGTGGTCTTCATGGATTTTTTAGCCTCTGACCCCCCACCCCTACCAGACTGGGAGGGGTATATTATTAAAATTAAATAAAAATGGTTTTAAAGTATTTTTCTTGAAATGACTTCATTTGGTGATTGCTTTGAGCCTTGAAATTGTGTAAAACCCAATTAAGAAGTTGTCTGTAGCAAGAAAAACTCATTTTAAACCCAATTATCTAAGAATAATTCGTTGTTTAAAGGGCCAAATACGGAACATCCAGTACTGTATTTCAAGAATGTGATGTCTGATAGTCCTGAAAAAATTCAGATAGAAAATATATCACGGATGGCTCATGTATTTTTTGAAAAAAAAATTCTCGAAATTTCAATTTTTAAGTGCATGCAGCTCAGGGGTAACCTTATTTTACCTTAATAATGTTTAAAATATGCAATGTATGCATCTCATATGAGGTCAAAATGATGCATAGAGCATTGTTTTGTCATATTATTCCTAATAAGATGTAAAAAAATTATTGGAAATTTTTCAAAAATCCAAATTTTCAATTTCGCTTCTAAAAGGCCAGAGGTAACCATATTTTACCTTAATAATTTTCAAGATATGTAATATATGCATCTCAAATTAGCTCAAAATGGTGCATATAGCTTTGTTTTATCAGATTACCCTTGATTAGATGTAGAAAAATGATTTTACATTTCTTAAAAATCTAAATTTTCATTTTAGCTTATTGTGGCCTATGGGTAGCCATATTTTACCTTAATAATTTTCAAAGTACAAGACATATGCATCTCAAATGAGCTTTAAAGGTTTTTTTAATCTTCTTTTGTCATATATTATTTCTAGGGAATGTAAAAAATGTTTGGAAACTTGAAAAATGATATTTTCATATTAGGCCATAAGAATTAGATTCTCTGGTTTGTGTCCTGGCAAAATCCAAATCATGCAAGGGTACAAGGAAACAAACACAAACTCAAAAAAAACTTGTTTGCTGAGAAATGTATACATTTTATGGGCATTAAAAGGAATGACATACCAATTTGCAGTGATACAAACACAGATCTATACGTTTACACAATATATTTAAATATAGGTATTATTCAAGGGTAAAAATAAAAAAAATGTATGCCTATGAGTAAGTAATCAATAACACTGTCAATTTTGACGCACATCAATTTATCCGCCATTTCGTCTGATTCTGATTGAATGAAATGCGATGTTACTTTCAGACCCTTGTGGTTGCTATTTGGATGTGTTTGTTTTTTCTGATTTAGTCAAAATCATGCAAGCAAGGGGAAGCAAAACAAAGAATCTAATTCTTACGGCCTTAGCTTTTGATGCCATTTTACCGTAATAATTTAAATAAAGATATATCACACTTGTTACTCAAACGAGCTCAAAATGTTGATTATAGTCAAGTTTTGCCATTTATTCCTTCTGAAATAAGAAAAAATTATTAAAAAAATTAATAAAAAATATATAAAAAATCTCAACATCCATTTATTTATTTATATAAAGAATCACAACATCCATTTATTCCTTTTTAGTACCACTAGCTCAATACTGTACTCTAGTTTTATCGAGCACTTTTCTAAGATTTGAAAATGTTTGACAGTCCAGTTTGTACTGAGTAGTAGCATTGTTAAGATTCCATGTATAATCATTTGAAAATATAATCCAAATCCATAAAACATAATCAAACAGGTCAGGATTTATAGATTCTGACAGTCTCCCCTACGGCTACATAGCCCAGAGCAAATGAGATATGATTTCAAACATTTGCATATGTTCCCTCAACACTCCTTAAACATCAAACAAGTTTTTTGCATGCCTCGGATGCAACATCTTTTGTTATTATACAGATATCCGCCTCATAGGACCTACATTTTCATATGTTGTGGCCTCAGTATCAGCAGTGGGAGTAGTCCAACCACATTCATGTGGTGATAGAAACTGTGGGTTAGAATGCATCAGAATAACAAATGACTCTACAACTGCAATGTTTCTAAAAAAAGATTCAAAGTTTAAAAACAACTGCAATAGCTCTGGGTATACACCTTCCATTCCTTCAAATCAGATGATTTAGAGAAGTAGTAGAATGCAAAGGTGACATATCAAATCCATTGATTGCATGAAAAATTGGGAGGGCTAAACTTTGGTCTTGTAATATTGTGGGCAGGTAGATATTGGAAGGATTTCCCCTTACCATATGCAATCCAAATTGACATTTTCAGTTTTACTACATCAAAATCAATTGTTAGGCAATGATTGAAGCAGTCTCTCGTATGGAGAAATATCCTTGATGGCGCCTAAGACATTGCATTACTTGGTCACTATCATCTTGCCATGTTCTTGAGGGTTTTAGTGTTGATGCCTGGAAGGAGGACAGCTCCCTCTTGTTCCCACTACATCTTGGATTGCATTTGGTTAAAAAAAATCCATTCAATAACTATCTGTGCATGATATTGATATGACAAAAAAAGATTATATACACCATTTCAAGCTCATTTGAGATGCATACATGTAACATACATTGAAAATTATTATCTAAAGTATGGTTACCCCTGGGCTGTCAAAAGCTCAAATATAAAATTTAGATTTTTAGATATTAGATATTTAGAAATGTCAAATTATGTTTTTATTACCCTGCGTGCAGAGTCTAGTTAAACTACACTCTGCCTAGTAGAGACCATATTACAGTTTAGTAGCCCCGCCCCCACGACGGGTACCGGTGACAGTTTGGGTAAATCACCTACGCGCTGACCTTCCACCAATCAGCGAGCTTGAAGAAACATACGACAAATGCATTCTAATTAAATATGCGCATGTCATTGGTCAATTCCGGGCTCAACGATGACGTCAGAAGGAATGACCATATAAAGAACGTCGGTCAAATTTGGCCGACGAACACTGATTGGCGCGGTGAGTTCACAGGTTTCTTTTAGTTTGAAAGAGTGAGTGAAGACGAAGCTCTCTTTTAAGAAGTGAAGTCAAACGAATGCAAAGGGTATGTTTTTATATATTATTAGGGGAAATATGATAACAAGACTTCTGATATATGAACCATTTTGAGCTCATTTTAGATGCATATGTAATAATATGTAATTATTATGTTAAAAATATGGTCAAATAGAAAATTCAGATTTTTAAGAAATGTCCAATAATTTTTCTACATCTTATTTTGGATATGATAAAACAAGACTATATGCACCATTTTGAGCTCATTTGAGATGCATATATTACATATCTTGAAAATTATTATGCTAAAATATGGTTACCCCTGGACCATCTGAAGCTTAAATGAAAATTTAGAGTTTTAAGAATTATCAATCATTTTTCTACATCTTATTAGGGTTAATATGATTAAAAAAAGACTAGATGCACCATATTGAGCTCATTTGAGATGGATATATTACATATTTTAAAAATTATTAAGGTACAATATGGTTACCCCTGGCCCTTCAGGAGCGATCTTTTTTTACTTCTAATTAGCAATATTATGACAAAACAAGACTAGATGCACCATTTTGAGCTCATTTGAGATGGATATATTACATACGAGGGTTGTCCCAGAAGTAATGCACTATATGCTCTAACTTTCTTTAATATTCTTCAATTCAGCTGAAATTTTGTGTAGATAACAACTTAAGTTTTATCTATTACATCCTGAAGTTTCAGCATCCAACATTAATATTAAGTCTTTATATGGTTGCTATAGCAACATGGGGGTAGGGGTGGGTGGGGCAGGTACCAATTTTTCTAATTATGAAAAGATCTTAAGTGTTATTTTATTAATATTTCTTTCCTCTAAATGGTCAAAATGTTTGGGAAATTGTTAAATTTATTCAGCATGATGTTAACCAAGTACGAATAATGACATTTAACACTGTGATGTCATAATACCACATTTCAATAGTCACGAATTCAAATACAGTCACGGTCAAGAAATTGCAAAAATGGCTGCAATTCTCACCTGATAACAGAAGGCCTTGCGTTTGGTGGCCTAATTCCATACTTCACTTGGACTCACAGCCACGCAAAACAATGCTACCATGAAGAAAGTATATAAGGAGTATATACCAGATAGAACTACAATTATGGGGTGGCAGAAGAGATATAAAAGAGACGATTTGACCCTGTATGACAACTCCAAACATGGGAGGCAAAAACTCCACAAGTCACAGTGGAAGAAATTGCCGAGGGAGTTTGACCTGACAGGCATCAAAAGTACATAACATGCAAAGGGCAATATTTTGAGAAAATGTGAAATGGGACACTGTGCAATATACATCCATTAAATCTAGGATGTGCTCATAGTAATTTAGTATCTTAAAATGTATTTTTGAGCATACTTCTTATAGCTACACCAAATTGTATTTGTTGATTGATTATTTCATATTTTCAATTTTTTATTTCTTTTGACGTGACTGTATAACCGGCCCCGCCCTACCCAAACTCACCAACTTGATTTTATTATAACATCAATATAGTTTTATCAGTCAACATGAAAGTTTGTAGAATAATCAAAATGTCTCTAAGGAACATTTACTGAAAATTTCATGGAAAAATATAAATTATTGATAAAGTTAGAGCATATAGTGCATTACTTCTGGGACAACCCTCGTATTTTGAAAATTATTAAGGTACAATATGGCCATTCAGAAACGAAAATGAAAATTTGAATTTTTTTTTGATTGCAATCTTTTTTGTACATCTAATTAGCAATAATATGACAAAACAAGACTAGAAGCACCATTCTTAGCTCATATGAGATGCATACATTGACTATCTTAAAAATTATTGAGGTAAGATAAGGTTACCCCTGAGCCAAATGCACCAAAAATTGAAATTTCGATATTTTTTTTTCTCTGAGAATACATCAGCTACCAAAGCAATATCTTCTATCTGCAATAAACACTTATACTTCTATTACTGTGAATTTTTTTCCTGGATAATTGGGTTTAAATGTATTTTCCTCACTAAATACCACTTCTAAAATGAGTTTTACATCATTTCAAGGCTCAAAGCAATCACCAAATGAAGTCATTTAAACAAAAATACTTTAAAACCATTTTTATTTATTTTCTATAATTTACCCCTCCCCACCTGATAGGGGTGGGGGTCAGAGGTAAAAAATCCATGAAGACCACCCCCAACCACTTGCCCTGAAATCATTTTCCACTCAAATCAAATGTTTCTACAAATGTGCCAAGTTTGTTGCTTTCCTGAAAAAGCCGAACAAAAAAGGGGTTATATCTGGACATCTGATCCCGCTATAAGTAAAATGTTATCCACAATCGTTATACCTATTAAAGACTGCTGGTCATTTGAAACGCCAGTATATACTGTATAAGGCCTAGGGGTAATTCAATTGAATCATTTAATTTGCCTAGATTGCCTAATTTCTGCCAATTTCGCAAAAATCAAATGTCGGAAATATAATCATAATGTTATCCAATGGGAAGTTTCTTGTCATTATGAAAATCAAAATTAGGAAAATGATAAAAGACCATTCTGCAAACTAACTACTCGAATTAAATACCACCGTGGTATTTCAGCAGCTCTCGAAAGCCCATACTTACAGTATTTAGGAAGAAATAATTTCTTGAAAGATCGACCCCTCCGTCCAATCCTCGATTCCCAAATCAAGAAAATATGAGTGTAAAACTAATTCAATAACATTTAGATAAACAAAGATGTAGAGGTTATACCTCTAGGTTCCTAAAACAAATTACTTTCGAATATAGAATATAGATGGCACATTGATATACATACGGACTCTTGCTGTATTTTTGTTTTGTGAATGACAACCCAATCCAATTTACTTTCAGCCCCACGGGTACGTTCAATATACAGATGCAGAAAACGCTCCTGTGTCGCCACCTGCTATGGAAAAACGTGAAGAACACACCCATCTATAATGACGCTAACGCTATTTACTATTACAATCTGACATTCGTTAATTTTGTACAGAATATTTAAAAAGCACTTATTAGAACATTTATGTATATATGGACGTTTTGTATGGTATCGTTTCCAACTGAGTTGCTCAATTGTAATTGTATTTTAATTAAAATGTGCCAGAACATACCGAGTATGTATAGTTAGCTAGACCACCCTGTCCATAATGGTTTAAATGAAACACTGGAACAAACTTTTGAAATACATTTACCATTACTATAAAGTAGGCTAGAGTTGTATCAGTGTTTTAACATTACTTTACAATTAGCTCATTAAACATAATGAGAAATGTATTGTTCTCAGGCCCGTAGCCAGGGGTGGGGGGTTGCAGGGTTCGGGCGACCCCCCCCCCCTCCGGGCCAAAAATTCTTTCAAAATCATGCAGTTTTTCACCATTTTGAGCACTTCTCAAGTGAGTCTAGCCATATTTGGGCCAAAATTGTCAAATGTGAACCCCCCGGAAATTTTTGAAAACTGTCCCCCCCCCCCTTTGCAAATCCTGCCTACGGGCCTGATTCTTTACTTGTTTATCGACGGTTGTGCATTTAGTATTTACATATGTACGTAATACGTACAATGCATTGCACATGCGTAGGCATTGAGAACAATTAGACTTGTGATGGAGGTAGCTAGGGAACTTAAGCAGCTTAGGCTCGAGTATTCTTTGAACAGTCTCAAAGCTTTGTGAAGGTTTAATCGCAATTATTTGATTAAGGAAATATACTCAAAGAGCTCTTTAGAAACTTTGGTACGACCTTGTATATGCCGTATAAAGAGATTAAACATTAGTTTATTTGGCTACAAAATATGGCGGACACTGAATAACATTTAGAACATTCAAAATGAGTTAAACTTGGGTAAATGTGAGTTATTCCTTGATAAAAGGTATGAATAATACCTGTAATAATGTCAGAAATACCTTGATGAAATAAAAAGAGATATGATTTAAAGATAGAGAAACATTAGGGCAAATACTTGAAGGATTGACAAAATACAAAATAACAATGGCGACTTTGGATATGATCGTTATAAAAGGAAGTATATCATTACATTGGATGATATATTCCGCAGTCCTTGGAACATGTCTTGAGCTGGTTTATGGACAGGCGACAAATGGTAAGTCTTTGGCAATCGTAAGCAAAAATATGACCATGAAGTTAGACCCATATAGATAAACAACTTTTGGAATGATTCATCGTCACCATAATATCAAGGTGGACATGGTAGAACATTTAACTTGCACACTGCAGCCTTATACTGGTTTCATGTACAGCCATGTCCCGAAGTTGTCTCACCTTAAGTTTCATCGAGATGTACTTTCGGTTCTCGATCGGTTCACTATTTCAGACCATAAACGCAGGGATGATGTAAAGACATTATAAGGTTTCATATTTTTTATTCGTGCCATCAACAATGTTATGCAAGCTGGTCGTGGCCATATACTAATTGTCCCCATCTGCACTGATATTCATTAAGCGACCTTATTACATCTTACAATTTTAACTTTCAGTCCGCGTCAAACAATTAACAATTAACATTATTCCCAGGACCATAATTTCTTTTGATATTACTTCTATGATCATAAATGGGCACATTTGTATGATCTAAGTTGTTATTTCAGGTACAACTGTGTCCCCTACAACGACTGCAGCTAACACAGTAACAGAGGCAGAGGCGTTCAATTTGAGTCTTTATGTCCCGGCATCTGTAATCTCTATAGTCCTCCTTACAAGCGTTGCACTGTGTGCAGTTGGTGTGGCTAGATGTGTGGAGTTTAGCCACACCAAGCGCGAGGCTAACCGCGACGACGTCAGTGACATGAGTGAACACACTAAAGAGATGCTTCGAAAAACAATGCGTGCCACTCAACTCGGAACTGAAGCGTTCAAACTGGAGATTGAAAAATCAAAAGAAGAGAAGGAACGTGAGGCTAAGAAGATAGCGGGAGCATGGGCGAATAAGCTTAGAGAGAAATCTAAAATGGGTTTCGGAAAGTCAAAGACCTCTAGTCAAAAAAATGGAGGAGTATTTAAGGGATTAAACATGGCTAAGCCTAATGATCAAAAGAAAGACAATAACCAAAATACAAATAGTGATGAATCAAAAGACATTCCAAGCACAGATGAAACTCTCAAACTTGCTGCGCTTGCGCTTGGCAAAGAATCTGATAAACCCAGTGATGGTGTAAAGGGCACCATAAATCATGCATTCACAAAGGATAAAACTGATCCCAATGCAGAGATTAGCCCCAGAGTGTCGTCGGACAAACCAAAGGCAAAGGAGGATACGCCAAGCAGTATTATTAACGTAAGGGAACGCACTGATAGTAGTGTAACTGCCAAGAGTGCTAAGTCAAACTACAGTGTCTCACACGTTAAAATTGAAACATTATAGACGTTGTTTAAAGTTGCTTAAATGCATTGCTTCCAATTGAATGGTGACGCTTCATAAAGGGCGTTGTATTGCTTCCAGTGGGGTGGTTACACTACGTGTCTGTACATACGCCTTGAACACCGGGAAAATACTACCATGTATTAAATGATCATGCGATAATATCTAAGTCCAATTATTTGCAAGATATTTTCAGGCAGAAAACCTTTTGTGGTCATGCATGCATGGCTTTCCAATATCTAGCTAAAATGATTTGTTAAATATTGTCTCGTTATTTTTGTGCTGGTCTAAGGTCTCGTACAGACAAAAGTGTAAAACAACTCTAATTGGAGTCATTTTCATGTTTGACCTTGACAATGACCTCAATGAGTCTACCCTAATGCTTTGCTTTGCTTTACTAAATTGTATTTAGGTCACCATGGACCTGCTTACAGATTGCATATCGGTGCCAAAAATGTTAAAAATATTTGAATGAATAAAGATTATTTTCAATTTACTATAAGGAATAACAAATATCAGTGTGTGCTTTTGATTGAATATTAATTTACAGCTTCATTTTAGAAATGTGTGAATTAAGAATTTTCCAAAACGCCTCACATTGCATGTATGCTTTTGTTGGTAGCATTATGGGCTATTCCCATATTTTTATTTCCGATTATACTCATCTTGCATTAGCTTTTATGTGTTGCTTATTTGAGCTTGTGTTGCGATTTATTGCAGAAGAAGCCACTAAGGAGTTGACAGGGCAGTTTCGTTCATTGAGCACCGAACGAAATGCTCAGACATAAAGATACAGGTTAGAATCCATTGCTTGATTGTGACGTATATATTGTAGATTCAACCTCGGATGAGATGTACTGTGTATGCACATTTGATTGTTTTGTTTTTCCACCAATTTTCCTTATGAATAGATGTCTCCTACATCGTGAAGTCAACTAACGTCAAAAATCTTAACAAATGTACTTTTCGGAACGGCCTATTCTTATGTGTCATTACGATAAAATTATTAAATTCATGTGTCCCTTTATATTTCCATATCGAACTTTAGAATACGATAATCTATAAAAGAGAATGATCTGAATGAATGTATAGATGTCATTACATGTAACAAGGATGTCATTACAAGGTTTTATTACATGTGCCTCGATGCGTAGTCAATTTGTTCACCCTATTAGAACCCCCTTTTAAGATATCAGAGGAAATATATTATCACTCATCATGTGTGTAGAATCGTTTCAATTCTTCTGGAATCTTGTGAAACATCATAAAACATCAATTTAAATATCCTGTTCGTTCCATATCTAGATATCGTTCTCCGGGTCCTAAGTATAATATATTGCATTGTCTCCGATCTCATATCTGTAACACTAAAGTACTGAAAGGTCACTGATTTCGAATTGAAGTATGTAAAATATAAAAGTTTCTATGAAATCATCGTAATTATGAAAGACTCAAACATTCCCAAGTAGTGTGTTGGAATGTCATAGTAGCATAACAATATTTGGGCATTGGTATCTTTCGATGTTCTTCATGTATTAGGTGGAGATTCCGACGTGCCGTGTGGCTTGAATATGTATTTGTACGTTATTTTTATCTTAATAGGGAGTTTAAGCTTGCATATAAAATCTAAACGTCAACCTATACGTATGACCAATCGCCAATACAAATGCATCGTTTAAATATTTCCCGTTCACGTTTAGGTTGTAAAAAAACATCGTAAGCTTAAACTCCCTATTGTCATTGTGTGTACTCTTCAATGTGAATATCACCTTCTTGCACTTAAACACGAGCTGTATTACGAGTTGCTCGCTTTGCCTTTATCCCCAGAGCTATTTTTCAATTTGATCTGATAGTTTAGTATGAAGAGAAATGAAAATTCGTTTCGAGAAAACTGAATCAATTAATATGAAAGAAAAGTTATATTTGCCGTCGATACACTTAGTATTCCATTCATAATTCTCCTTGCAATGTAACTAGTATAACTTGTATTATCTTAGCCGAAGGCAATATTAGTTTTTTTTACCAATGGTTATTTCCACAAAACAAAGAAAAAACAGAATAACTGTAATTTAGACTGCAATTTGCCGGAAATTGTTATGAAATGATACCCCACTGATGGGCACATAATTATTTTCCTCGCAGCTAGTTGTAATGATTTTGTTGTATAAAATAACATGCTTGGTCCTTTCAGGAAAACCCGCCAAAGCCTACCGAGAAGTCGTCTGCAAGTGCGCCTACACCGGCTATTGTAGTGACACCTATGGGGCAAAAAGACTTGGAATTGCTGTGATAGATGCAATTGGAACAAAATGTTACATCCAGTATTCAACGACGTTTTATTGTTTCATTTTATATATAAATACAAGAGGTTGTTTACACATTGTACATATTCATAATTTAATTGGTCTCACTGAGGAAATATTATTTACAAGATAAAGCTTATGAATTTAATAAACGTACATGTATGACATGTATATTACTAAATATTGCATTATAATTAGCTGAATACCAAGGGGTATCCCCAGATATTCCCAAGGAAGTGCGTCTGCATCAACATAACCACTTGAAGCCTAGCTTCTCTCCTTCTCCTCAGCCCCATTCAAAACATCCCCAGGGATTGACTCAGAATGAGGGGTCGCACCCAACGCACGCTGAATAGACAATGCTGATAATTCAATAGATTGATCTCTATCTTGAGTCTATATGTCAATATAGACTGTCGTAAATTACGACATTAAAATGATTTACGTTGTCAGTTCATACATGTTAGTGTCTTTTATTTTAAGAATGATTTCCCAGCTAATTTCACTGCTACTCAACGAGAGAACACGACTACTGACTACCACTGTGTTAATATTTATTTATTTTAAAATGAAAAGAATATGTAACATGTTATAAATAAGAGAAAGAGTCCTAAATTCTTATAAAAGCGAATTAATATATATAAAAATCTAAAATGCATGGTTTGGGTAGACCATGGGCTAGTTGAAAACCCATGGATAGACCCATAATACATTGGCTACTGTAGTGGATCTTTAGATGCTGATCAGCGTTCTAATTAGTCAGTTTCAATGCCTATTTGCATTAGACCTGAAGTGTCGGAACTAATAAACGATTCGTCATTTTATTCTCGTATTCAAATAATTTTTCATTTTATGCAGGTACATGCTCATAATATAAACCCAGATATTCTGAAAATGTACAGAAACATCTATGAAATGCAACAGCTGTGAATATTAAGCACCCATTTCTAGACTTCCTAGCTATTAATTCCATTTGTACGAGGCTTGTCAAAAAGTTCTGAATGTTTGTAATAAAAGAGGCAATGCTTTCTGAGTTGACCAAAAATCACTAGAATAATAAAACATTGGACCACTGCTCTTAAGGGATTTGATTCCTCTCCTTCATGACATATTTCACATAAAAGATAAAAGCTCAGAGCGGCAATTCGGGAAATACATGTTTCAAACGTTAATGTTTGTGGTCAACCCTCGTACACCTGTTTTCGATCACTTGTCAGTCTAACGACTATTTGCAATGGTTACAAAATTGCATCAATAAAATATGTTTTGCAGCATGACGACTTTTCCATTCATGTAGTTTCATTGTTAGAAACATTTTTTCAAATTCCAATTGTTCACGATGTCTCTACGAGGTATGTTCAACTATATTTAAGAGAGATTGCGATTCTCTCTTTGAATTACATTTAGACAAAACTAGGGTATAAACCTAATACTAAAACAATTAAATTTATTTATATTGTGTTGTTTAACATGGTTATCTAAGTCTCCATAGCTCATACCGTAAACACCTTCACTTAGCACACTGGTACAAACAACGATAACAGATTAAAATAGTGTATTATCTGGCGGGTTACGAGGATTGATGTCCTGATTAAAAACATCCAGAGCTGATCTGTATAATTTCATCTGATCAATTATATACTTGCTTTTTGTATTTTACAATCTGTGTGATTTATAATCCAATTGAATTAATTGAATCCTCTGTGTTGGAAAACTTGGATACTGTCGACTAGATCAACTCAGATCGGTATTTTTGTTCTTTTGGCTGCAATTGATAGTATCAAATACATGATTGACATCTTTGTGATCGGTCGGAGATGACGAATCGGTTGGAGATGACGAAGATTTTTCGATGTAACTTTTCCTATATGCATGATACTTATTTATCTATTTCGTATTGTTATGTTAGCTAACCGTTCGGAAATATCCACAGATGTCCCTTCCCTAAGGGATCATCATCATCATCGCGTCTCATATTGATATGGATGGACGAACTATCGAAGAAGATTCCTGGTGGACTTGTTCAAATGTCATTAATTTCTAAAACCCCGAATATCAAGTATGATATTGATCAATACACATCGCCAAGTATGAAAGTATAGGAATAAGAAACGTTTCATTTTACTAATAAATTGTCGCATGACTTAGTGACGACATTGTGCTTTTGTAAAAATTTTGTGAGGGCTCCTTTTGGGTTCATTGCCTTGGCGTGTTTATGGTGGCTGTCCCCACCTTTCTTGAATAGTCTGATCTGGGAGAGGATCCCTACCAGCAGGTCGTCCACTTGATGGTTAAGGGTGGCTGAAGTCTCTATAAACTTACAATCAAGTTGAGTTGCGGCGTTCTTACCATCTGGAATCACAAAAAAAAGAAAATAGATGAGTTACAACGGTTACAATATCCTAAAACGTGTTCTTCAGGTTGGATTATTAAATCACAAAACTATTTTTTCTTCTTTTCACAACCTTTATTTGAAATTGAACATATCAAAAAGGCGTTGGGAAATTGTGGATATCCCCATGCCCAATGGACCGTTTCCTAAACAATGAAAAATGTAAAACGTAGGGTCAATCAAGATGAAGAGGAAAAGCCGTTAGGAACTGTAGTGTTACCGTATTTCAAAGGTGCGACGGAGAAACTCCAGAGAATTTTTATAGAACATGAAATTAAAGCAGCAGTGAAACCCTACATGACTCTGAAAAATATGTTAGTCCACCCTAAAGACAAAATAGACATTAATGATAAATCAGGAGTCATTTATGAGGTACCTTGCAAAACGTGTAACAAATCGTATATAAGAGAAACCTCAAGACCTTTGAAAGTTAGAATTGAAGAACATAAGATAGAAGATTCGAGATACAATTCACGTTACACGCACCAAGCGACTAAATTAGCCATTACGGACCACGTCCTTCAGAATAATTGTGTAATGGACTGGAACAATACTACAGTTTTGGACAATAACAATGAGAGACTTGAAAGATGGATTAAAGAATCTATTTTTATAAAGAAGAACGATAATAATATGAACAGGGATCAAGGGAACTATAAATTGGCGGAAATTTGGACAATTATTCTGAAGGACGTGGTCCGTATAATGGCTAATTTAGTCACCACCCCTCTCATATTTTCTTTTGCTTGGCGCGTGTAACGTGAATTGTCCCTCGAATCTGCTTCGATTCTATCTTATGTTCTTCAATTCTAACTTTCAAACGTCTTGAGGTTTCTCCTATATACGATTTGTTACACGTTTGTTTTGTAGCGCTTCAGTTCCGTTTTTATAGTTGAAAAAGGATCCAGACAGGATTTATGGTATAAATGCCAAACAATCAAATCATTGTGAAAACATTAGATCTGTTACACAATAATCATTAATATAAAGTTTTGACGTCGACTCATAGGGTTCCATCAGGAGCTACTTGCTGACACAAAACATGGCTTCCTACTTATTAGCAAACAAATTGTTACAATCGTCAGGTTTATTCATTAACATCTCCACGCAGTTGTATTGTAAAAAGTCATTTAATAACAATAATGGTAATTGCTCTAAACTGTATGTCCAATACCGTAAATACGGTAATATGACGTCAACGTATTAGTTATCCTGAAAAGGAAAAAAGATAAGTCATGTTTCAGACTTTGAAAGACAGTGAGACGGCATGAAAGATATCGAGGCATAATATAAGTTGAACAGCAGGACGGCGTGGGAAATATTGAGTACTACGTAGGACGTTTTTTTCAGTCGGGTGGCAAGAGAAATATTGAGTACTATCAATATGACGGAATAAGAGTGACCCTCAAAGATACCGGCAATGAAGATATTAACGGACAATATCAGTAGGACGGCATGGTATAAATTGAGACACTTACAGTAAGACGGCATGAGAAATATTGACTACTATTACAGTTAGTATGACGGTATAAGAGATATTGTGACTCTCACAGTAACAGCAAAAAAGATATTGAGACAATATCCTAGATGCGAGTAGAAATAATCTTGATTTACGTCATTAAAATTTCAAAATTCAGTCAAACTGATGTCATATTTGGAAGCTACATGTAAAATCACATCTAGAAATATGGTTTTGAAAAGAGTTTATCAACTTTGAAAATTTAATTTTCTTTGAAAATGTGACTTCTAGGTCGGGGAGATTCCCCATAGCCCCCATGTTGTAAAATCACAAAAATGGAAATATCTCTTCTTGTGTTGGGCAGATAATATTTTCTTTTACTGGACATATTTTAATTTGTATAACTATAAGATACATAAGGGTAATATGAAATGTGAACCACTAAAACTGCTGAATATTCAAGTTTAAGGGAATTTTGTAGTACCCTGCCATGTTATTTCCCCCGAATCAGCCACCTGGTGGCGAAACTGGTAACAATCTACTCGCATCTGAGTAATTAACCTAGCAACTTTGTAAATCGATGAAGTATGTGTTTCCATGCACGATTACACTTTGAAACGTATTTTCGTTCAACTGTAGTTGGAACCGAAGATGAAGAACTTTTTTTCATATGAAAAATTAAACACATAATTCTAATATAGATTTTTATCCTCTTTAGATTCAAATATTTTCTTTGACATTTTCGAAAAGCTAAAAATACATTAAACATTATAATGTGAGCTTGTATCCGCGAATGCAAATAGCGGTTACCGGCTACCGGTTTGATTGCAATTAGATGTCAAACCCATTTAAATATTAAAAGCAACTGCAAATTGATAGGCTAATCTAGTAGCCGATAGCCGTTAGTTGCATTCGCAACAATACAAGCTAAGAATACAAGCTAAGATTGATATCTGATCTGCTGCTATTTTTGTCTGCTTTGGGATTCTTCAAGTAAAGTGATGGCATATTGGATGAAAAATTAAAGGTCCCCTTAAAAGAAAAATGGCTCTATCCGTTGCAGGTCAACCCAAGCCAGCACAAGATAGATAATGTACACTGTAAAAGACCCCATTAACGCAGTGTGTCAAGTTCTGATTACGAGAGTATTAGAGACGGTAATATCCAAAATAAATGATCAGTTTTAACAGTGACAAATTCCTTTCGCAATTGATACTGAGCAAAAAGGCAAGGTCATAAAAAGCTAATCATTTTTTACAGTTCCTTGGAGATGAGATGATAAAGAATAAATTGCCAAACTGCTATTTCTCAGCAACCTGGATGACATGGGGTTTGTTTTTACATCGATCTACCTTCTCCAGGGATAAAACGGCGATTTAACATACTTGCCGAACTGTCGAATATGTATAACCATCCGCCAAAGGAATATCAATAAGTCGAGTTTGATTTGTTTGCCACGCTTCAGCAAACCACGTTATGTTCTTTTTATGAGTTTGAGTTATTATCCAGAATAATAAGATATTCACCCGTGGATATTGGATAACTATTCAAAGATATCGAGATCATTGATTAATCATACCTATTAGATAATTAATTCCTCATTTTATGTTCTTTTCCTAAATTGAATTTGATATTCGATGGATAATGGATATGTGTGCCGCCGAGTGTAGTTTTACCATATAATAACATTCAAATAATCTAATCATCGCTGAAATATGAATTGAAACGACGCAGGGGCAAATTATGAAAAAGTTAAGGGTTTAAGGGTGGCTATTTAAAGTTTTTCATATTTTTCAAATTCTGAGCCATAGTATCAGAGCATGTTACTAGAAACAATAAAATCTAAAATATTAAACTTTCTTAAAATTTTGTAAAAATATATTGACAACTTGGCAAACAGATCAATCAATATCCAAGGATCTGCACAACCAGATATACTAGCATACTTATTCTCCTTCGTAAATTGTTCTCCATTTTTGGACACCGTGTTTTATCTACTCCTCATATTGTGGGCACCCTGTATTGTCTAATTATCATCCTATATCGAGGCCAGACTAAAGTATTATCCGGCATTCTTGTATTGTGGATACCCTGTAATTTCTACTCAACAATCTTATAAAGTGTGAAGACCCTTTGTTATCTACTCCAAATTCCAATATATAAGGACAAGTGAGGTTTCAGATCTTTATTTCCCTCAGGATATACCCCATACTATCCAAAACATCCCATATCCTGACCCTCATTTATCTATTCCCCACTCATATATTGCAAACAACCTGTCTTGACGCCTACTTCTAATTCCTTTATTCACCAACTGATCCCCGGGGATGGTTGATGCTGATCAAAAAACTATGATATTGCATCGTTGTCACAATCTGCAATGCAAATCCGCTAATTCTTGCGTGAAGGGACAAAAGTGAACAAATTACATCAATCTAGATGCAGCAAAAATGAATAAGTTGATCGATCATAGCGTTCAATTAACCATTTTTTCTTCCCTGGTTAAATGAGAGAGAACGCAAAACAGTACGTATAGGATGTAGCAACAACTACACGGAGTAGCAAATTCCACAGGACAAAATATATTTGATAAAAAGTTATCACCGTATAAAATTTTAACGAACTCCATCCACTGGAATTCAAATTATCAAAGATTATGTTTTTTACGAAAATGGCATTTTGAAATTCAGCTACCATCTTGACATTTCTTTTTGAGCAGAGCTTCTTTGTGCTTAGGCATCCGCATAAAAAGTTTGAACCAAGTCCGTCCAATGCACGTGGTATTTGAGTTATCAAATATTACATTTTAACTCAAAATGGCAGCCATTTTTAATTGAGTGGCCATCTTGAAAATGTTTTCTTTAGCCGAGTTCCTTTGTCCCTAGGTAACAACATATAAAATTTGAACCAAATCCGTCTATTAGTATTTTAGTTTTCAAAGATAACGTTCTTTTACGAAAAATGGCGGCCATTTTATTTAGCTGCCATTTTGAAAATCTCTTCCTGAGCAAAGCTTCTTTGTCCTTCATAAGCATATAAAATTTGAACAAAATCCGTCGACTAGTATTTGAATTATCAGTATTTTTACGAATAATGGCGGCCATTTTGAATTGAGAGGCCATATTGAAAATTCCTTCTCGAGCAGAGGTCCCACAACCATAAGGCAAAAGCCTATAACTACCATTCGATAAAGAAATAATGTCAATAATTGTCAACGTGTATCGTCATTATTACATTAAACGTCCGTAATGGCGTTTGTCTATCTTACTATACATTCCTTTCGTTTTGCAAATCGTTTGAAAAAATTGACCTTCTTTAAGAAGTGACATACTGTTATGTTGTGAAAAAGCATCGATACGAAACCGGTTGAACGAATTACATAACATACACGATCCTTTAACTTAATGCATATAAATCAGGTTGAAGTATAGTATTTCCCAGGAACCCGACCCCATTGAGCTCTACTTATCTAAATTAGTTTCTTTTTTGTAAGATTGCTTT